TAGATCTGGATCTAGATGTAGATCTTGTATGAGATGAAAATGGAGAACCTGAAGAGGTATAAGGCTGTATAGGTTCCTCGATGGTATCAATCGGGGCCTGTAATGAGGAATTCGATGATTGTCGACGGCGTTTTCGCTCTAAATAACTATTTAGTAACTGGTTATAAACTGGTTTGGAACTAATTACTAATACTTACGTTCTCTGATCAGGCTATTTGCATACCGCTGGGCAATAGTGTCCGTACGATAGGAATGATGAATTGAACCCTACTCATTCAATAGATTTCTGTATGGCCACTACCCCAGATTGCTGCCCAAATCATAATGGAGATTCCTTTGCCTTTGATATATGGAATAATATGCTTTTTTTCTATTTTTTGTTAAGGTAGTTGAGCCGCCATACCCATTGATTTTTCTTTCCTTTGCCAAGCTAAACAGAACATTCATCACTCCATATAATCTTGCTCCACTGCTCGTAAGTCCAATCCTTGCGCGCATATGCCCATTGATAGCGTAGCTTAGCTGTTTCCTCAGTTAATTGAGGTCAGCTCTGCAGTGGCCATACCCTGATTCTTTCAACATGCGCGAAACAGTGCGTGCAGAAATAGGCTTGTTAAGTAATTTGCAGATGTCTTCTGTTTTAATAAAGGGATCACGCTTGATTTGTAAAAGAATATATCGTATCAGCAGCAGAAACGATCTCTGGCCATCGGGAGTGAGGAGAACTAGTCCCAGTGTGAAAGTCTGGTATGTTTCAATGGTTGTTTGAACAGTTGTATATGGTAAATTCGTGGCGCGTTGAGTATCGGCCTTTTTCTGGCCTGCAAGAAATCGACCAACTACAACTCCACGCTGAAATGGTCCCAATTCCTGTCTACTAGACTTATTAGAACTAGTAGACCGTAAAGGGCGTGAGGCATGATAGGCCTAGGTGGTTGAAAAGATGAAGTATAATATTGAGGGGCGCCGGGTGGCGCGGAATTACGTAGACTTTTGTCATGTGACTGTATGCCTAGCAGTATAGCTAAGGCTTTGCTTCTTATAACCCTTCGAACGGAAGATTATCCTTGAGACTATGCATCAAAGAATCCGGCTTCCTCTAGTCTCCATAACAGGTAGACCCCGTTAAGCATGCTGGTATTTAAACCTGCTAGCTAACTGGGACTAGAGTTTAGTAATAATAACAAGATTGCTGAATATTGACAGCTGATTAATGGAGCGTTGTGCTGTGTGATGTAAAGGGCTAGAGCCCGTTTGACCTCTCGGGCCACTGTCCCTATTGTCCCTACTGTCCCCGTTGTCCCTATTGTCCCTATTGTCCCTATTGTCCCTATTGTCCCTACTGTCCCTACTGTCCCTACTGTCCCTACTGTCCCTACTGTCCCTTTGGGCCATTGGCCCTCGATCCCCGTCACGTGACTCCCCATCTTGTTTGTTTACCGCTCATTTTCCTCTTCCTTTCTTCCCTCCTTCAACGATTCCTTCTTGTACATAAACTATCTGTAGGTTATACGGGTTCAGCCCTTGACATGTGATTGATTTATTTTACTACTGCAGCAATAATTACTATCTTCTGTAAACCGTGGTATATACTCGTTATATCCTAGCTCTTGTAATGTAGTAAATGGATAGGCCATTGTAATTGCACAAGCTGTGAACGTTAGTGGCTTATACACTTGTCGACATATTAGGACCTTAAAGACTATCATTAATATAGCGTGCAACTATGTGCAGCCAGCCAGTGTCTGGCTAGCTTCTGTTACGTTGAAGCGGAACAGCAGTAGTAATTTTTGAGCATGATCTGATCTGTATCTGCAAATATCTGCAGGTATTGGATAATGTGCAGATATTTGTGGAGCGCCCTATTGCGCCGTTGATGTTGAACTAGTACTTATTTCAAAATCAAAGAGAGGCCTAGTCTTTCGCGTTTACTGTAGCATCATTTGTTTGTCAATATTTAGAAGACAATATTGGGGTTTGTGTGAACACTTTCATTTTCGACAGGGCTCATATCTTTGCGTATCAACGTAGGCTTTCATCTACGTACCACTTGCATATTGGATTGACTCAACAGGTTATTCGCCTTCGGATGCTTTGGTTAACGTTGTTCTGCAGTCCTTCAGGGCACGGATGTCAGCATCTGGTCTCTGTGTACTAATGAGAGCATAATCCATTAGAAGCTTCCTTGCAACAGCATTTTTATCTCAAATTATCATGCTGAAGTCATGCATCCGAAAAAATTCAATTAGAATGTTCTCGACCAACCGTACCATGAGCAGTTGAAGATCCATGACGCCTTCAGAAGGCGGAGTGAATGGAAACCGACCCGGATATCATCAGCAAATATGACTGTTTCGTATCAATACCAGAATAACGATCGACGCAAGCGGCATCTGGTAGGATGCAACGTATGGTTTTACCTCATAGCGTAACCAAATCTGATTTTGTGTTCTAATTTTGTGGAGCATATGTATGGTTCAAGCTCATCATGTTTCTGACGTCAGTGACGTCCCCGGCTCCTGAGGTGACGTGGGAGTGAGTGCCAAGAAGCCTCTGTGGGGCGAGAGGTGAAATGGCTAACCGCATGGCATTACGTACTACGTACCTAACTCGCGGCACGTTCCGCGGGCCACAAAACCTTTCTTTAACCCCTCCCTTTGGCTCTACTCCGTAGGAATATGCAGTCCTAACCCGTTAGCTGCAAGCATCAACTATTTCCACTGCTAGCAGTAGACTCCTTGATGTTTTTCAGTTATCGGTCCCAGGGCCCGGGAGATTTCTAAGTCTAATTCTCGAAATCCGTTGTTTGCAGCGGGTTGTTGGGTTGCTGACCAGTATATAACGGTGGTTAGTATTTTAAGTTATGGTCACTGGCCCTCGATGATTGTGGAAATTCTAACTCTAGAGCGAAAGTATATTGCAATCGGCAGCTCTTGAAATCATTTCCATGGTTTCTATAAACAATTATTAATGCTTGTATGTTCAGTTTTTTAGCTCTGCTGCAAACTTCGACATCCAGATTTTTAAAGTTAGGGCCAAATTTAGTTATTACATCACCAGCATGTATGAGGATATTCGCGGATTGATAAATATAGCTGGCAGCTCACTCTGTGAAATTTCTAACCGAATATTTTAGATATCCTCTCCGTAAAGACTTGAATACACTTTATCAAACGAGTAAGTATTTGCAGTTGATAAAATTCATAGCGTTGCTAATTGTTCAACAGTCTTGTACTTCTACTACGAAACTGAAGTAAGTGAACGCCCCTGTTGGAACTCATGCCACCTTAGGCTACACAGTATGCATATATTTACCTGTTTACTAAATAGTCACCATAATGGATGCTCTCGGTATTGGTAGTGCTGGTGGTGCGAACGGCGGTGGAGAGGCGCTCCCCAAGTAAGGGGTACAAGGGGAGTGTCGGTGTGGTTGATATGCCTTAAAACAGGTTTTTGCCCTCTTTATGCGAAATAGTGCGGTTGTAGGGTTTTTCCCTGTTTTGTAAATGCAAATGCAGAGGCTGGATGTTGTTAGCCAGTAAACTCATTCCAACAGTTGCCAAATATTGTGCGGTAGACTGAGATATTAGAGGGCTGATTAGCTTGTTCCTCAACTTCGATTGTTGTGCCAATACTCTCCACTGACTCTCAGTAAACTCACGAGGGACCATGATAAAGAATATCGCTTTAATACCACTAATAATCACTATACTGTACGCAACTAGACTAGGTAAAAATATGACCCAGATCCAATATAACAGTAGGTCATTGTCAGACGTTCAAATAATAGGTGAGGGGCTTGAGCTCGAGAATGACATCACCCCGGTCTTTCGGCCGAGTTGGGCAGACACATCCCGGGCACTGATAAGGTATATACCTATATGTGGATGGCTGACAGTTATTTGTCGACGCCGCCGCCCATGGTTGCTTTCAAGTATATCACACCTCAGAATTAGACTTCGTCTGCGCTTAAACCCTGGTCACACAAGGATTTCTAGCTGGTATTATATATGAATCTGTGCCAAATGCCCGCCCAGTCTAATCATCCCGGCAATCCCGTTCGACGCCTCCAGGAATCAATATCACAAATCCACCAAGTCAGGGAATTATGCCAGGTTCCATCTATCTCATTTGGTGTGGTCCATAAAGGCAAGGCGGTATTGCGAGAGAGTGTTGGATACCGAGATGCTAGGCAGAGGTTCAAGGCTGATGCAGACACGATCTACGTACTCGGCTCATGTTCCAAAATGTTCACCTCTGCTGCCGTGGGCATCTTAGTCAATGAAAGGAAACTTAAGTGGCAGGATCCAATCCGGAGGTATCTCCCGGAGTTTAATCCAGTTGGCGATCCTCATATCGGCCAGAATGCTGACCTTATTGATGTTCTCCGCCACTCGACTGGTGTAACCTCTCCGGAAGCACTCTTCTTCGGGCCACGTGGGTCAATCCTTACTAGTGAGGAGGATATCGTTAAGCTCCTGAATATAATGCCCACGGCAAATAAGGAGGGACAGAGATTTAATCGCCACTGGGAATATAATAATTTCACATACGGGATTATAGCCCTGGTGGTTGAGAGAGTTACTGGCCAACGGTTTGCAGAATTTGTTCGAGAACGAATTTTACGTCCACTTGGGTTGAAACGAACGATTCTGGCTAGGGCGGACATCGCGGATGATGGCAATGTCGCTGTTCCATGCGCATCACTTGATGATGGAGCCTTCGTTCCCCTGGATTCCGAATTGTGGCCATGTGAAGATCATTCACCGTTACTGGCCGCGACAGGAATGCGGAGTACTATCAATGACATGCTCAACTGGTGTATTGCAGTGCTTTCTGCGGAAAGAAACGAAAAGCACTCCGAGCGCAAGGCAGCTGATTGCCCAAGTCCACCCACACCACGAGCACTTGCTCGACACACAACCAACGCCCAGGACAACCACTAAAGCAAATGAATTATATCGCCGCGGGTACTGGACTCGACCGGCCGAGACCATCATTTAGCAAGGATGCGGCGTATTGTATGGGATGGGTGCGTATGGATCTCCCTTCTTCAATGCTAGGGGCTTCAGTGGCAATCGCCACTCTCGGGAAACAACCCCAGATGCATCTAAAACATATATTAGGAGTGGAATCCCATCATTCCTGGCGATCGGGCATTCTGGAGGTATGCCCGGATCCATAGCAACGGTGTGGACATTTCCCGACACGCAGAGCGCGGTGGTGACTATGGCCAACGGCCGTAGTTTTGGAGACGCCAGTGATTTTACCGCACAGATCTTAGTCCAAGCATTGTTTAATTTAACCCCATGGATCGACTTGACCCCCTGGGTGAAGATGGAGTAGACTTGGCGAAGAGGTTCTTTTACAGGACTGTCTGCGACCATGGAAGGAGAATCGACGGACCACTGACGCTGAACGGGAGGATCCAAGATATATATTGGGGAGTACCAAGGATTTAATGGCGTATTCACGCTAAGTGTTGTTGCAGACTGGGGCGGGAGGTTTTAAAGGTAAATTGGCACTAATATTCAACTCCCGCAGTGCTTCGAGACGGCGACTTGAGTTTTACCGGAAAGATACCTACAGTTTCTTTCCTGAAGATTGGAACAACTATACAGTGGATACAAGTGTTGTAAAAGACTATAGGCAGACTCTCCTGGAGTTCAATGTGAACGATGAAGCACAGCGAGTTACTGGACTCTGGTGGCTATGGAATACGGATGAAAAGCCAGCCTGGCTAAGCCGAATTGAATAAATCAACGTACTGGATGGGTATGGAACATAATACTAGATACATCTGTCTTTGGAGGTATAATACCGTTGAACTTGGGATGAGTGGGTTTCCTTCAAGAACGCTGTCCAGAAGAGCATCCCGACCCTGCCTCTCCGAGCGGATCAACATGATCTTCGCCTGAAGCTTCCGAACAGTGCACCTTCACCAGCTCCTTTCGCGATGGAAACATGGTTACGCAGAAGAAGCTCTGCAATCTTCTAGTAAAAATCTGGATAATATCGTTTATTCTCCATATGATCACTTTGCGAACCGGTACCGTTCCTTGAAAAGATTGGAAACTCAATTAAAGAATAGATTCCCGTTGTCCACAATTGTATACCAGGATGACAAGTTTGCAGTACTTTCGAAAGCGATTGAAAATTACCTTGACGAGGTATCCGACTTGTACGATGACTGCATTGAGCAGAAAAGTGCCATGACGGTGACTCTCTTCCAGTTGTGGGCGGTCATGGAGATATATACTGTTCACCAGTTCCCGCTCCTCAAGGAGTACCCTCCGCCCTTTCCGCCAGAAGTGTTAGACATATTGCAGCTTTCCAAATACGAAGATTTAGCCCGTCTTCAGAGATACAACAATATCTGCAAAAGCGTGAATCACAGTGTTGATTCAAAGCTCTTACGTTATTCTCCGATCCTGTAAGAAATTGCTTCGCGGATCGATATGTCCGTTGCTCCCTTGATGCTGACCGGCTACAACGGCTCAGCCATGATATTGAAACCGCGTCCTCTACGGCAAAAGATCGGAAAAAGGTGGAACTGAATGGAATCAACGAGCTATATTCAAGTCTTTCCCAGAGGATAACATCAACAATCTGCACTCGAAAGCGAGATCCACCGGGTACAGGCTGTAGACACTGCAGACTCAAAAAGCTGAGAAAGAAGCTGCAAATAACAGCCCACAAAGACTTTCTACCTGAGGAGAGCACAAAACATGCCGCTGTTCAACGGAGAGCGATCCTTTTTGAGCTTGCCATGCCGTCCTGTTTGGCTGCATATCGGGACACATCATGGAGGATACTAGCCAAATTTGGAAGACCAAAAGATGAAATGGAAGCAAGTCTACCTCCACCTAGGGTACTTTTATCCCGATGGGACTCTTTAAGACCATATGTCAATCATCGCGAATTACGGTTCCATTTAGCATCCACGACGAAATCGTTCCTTGTCTCCCACTATAAAGGATCAGCACTCCCTGTAACAAATGCCCAAATACTTCTTCCCTTCGGGCTTCGGTTATTATACTATGATACGAGAGAGGAGAGATGGGCATCGCATCTATCCTCGGGGTTCACATTCGCACATTCGTTCGGACTGCACCAATCAATCCTCACCCTGCTGGGACCCGAAAACGCTTCGGAATTCGCGGCAGACGCAGATGGGCGGTCGTCGTATAAAATAATGAGCTTCCAGAACCAATCTCCAGGAAGTGCTCGGTCCACACGGTCTTTGAAGATGTCACGTTTTGTGATCGGCTGGCAACTCAAATCGAAAGTTTATTACAAGGGATCTCGGATAACTGGCGCGAATCTTTTCGCATGGAGGCGTTGATAACTTTTTCCCTTCGTCTATGCTCCCTCGGGCCGACGCAAGCAGCTGCAGGAGGCAGGCGACTTTTTTACTGACAGCACGGCAAATCACTTTACGATGGATACATCGAATACGTGAGGACATTGGCCAGGCAGTAGATTCAGCGGCTGCTCAACAGCTTAGCAGTTATGCATTATTGGCTGGACTCTTATGCAAAAGGACATTCGAATTTGATTGTGATCATATACGGGATAACAGTGCCTTAGAAACCTTTCTCTGCGCTTGCTTGGCAATTCCAGAGAACATGACCCTTAAGCCCGAACAGCTCCCAGCTACGATTAGAGGGATGCTTATTCGTGATATTCAAATGACTGTGTCGATTCAAGGGCTGCTTCAAAGCACGATCCAGTGCCATCCAGAAAGTCTGCAGCTTGCTATCAGCAGCATGTGGCCTGATACCGCAGATCGCCCAAGGACGTATCGTCCTTGGCGGTACATCTCGAAATCTGATATGTGGATGGTCTCGACCGCTACTGCATCGGATCTTTCTAGACCACAGCTAGTCCACTATCATATATTAGAGGGACATCTCCTTGTAGACCGCAAACCCGTCGGCAAATTACCGGCTGAGATACGAAATGCGGATAGTGTCCAAGAATTATTTGGGCCGCAGCATCTGCTCGTCTTTCCGTCCGCCTTGAAAGATATGACATATGTGCTATCGACGTTGAGGAGTGGACATCAGATCCACTTCGGCCTCTATGAAGACCAGGTTGCGACTCGGGCCCGCGTCCGCGGCACCGTCCTTCAATTTGTGGAGTGAACAGTTTTTTGGTATAGGCATCAGGGCTGATTTGCCGACTCCGCTCCTCGGCGAATATTTCCACTGGCTAGACTTGGGATCGGGTGAGCTAGAATTTAGAAGACGGGCCCAGTTGTGGTGGTATAAACGCCCAGGAAATTGGATGCTGCACGTGGGTGCACGTCAGGCGTCCCGCCGACAAACCCTCCTGGTCGACCCCCACAGCAACGTATTCCATCGAATTGCCGGGATTTTCGAGCATTTTGAGTCCGCAGATAGGCTAGTTGTTTTCCAGCCAGCCAAAAGAAACCTTAGCGTGGAGTTGAAGCGAATGGACTTGGACCTTACCGTTAATGGGAAGGGCATTTTCCTGTGTAGACAGCTGCGCTCGGAGATAGTTCCAAGCCAGGATGCTGGAACATGGTATGGCTTGCAAAGTAAGATCGTTCTTCGCGACAATGAGAATCATCTACGCCGAAGTATTATCGTGCCAATTGGGTCTATACAGTACCGTCGCCACGATGTTCACGTCCTCATTAGGGTGGTCAATGACGGTTGATATGGCCAATACGTGATCGATAACACACTTGGGCGGCTCGAATGTACGCCAGAGCCACTGCTGGTATTTACAAAATCGCAACTACATGCTTTTACTTCTTTCCCCTGCCCGATACACTCACAGGGCGTACCGGCACTGAGGAGGCCTTGTCGTGCTTAACATCTGCACAAAGCCAGCCTTGGACTCTTCTGGGCCCCGCTCAGTGCATACCCCTCCAAACTATTGCGAGGCTGACACCAGTAAGGAAGTACTATCCTTCGCATCTTAAACGACAGCAGGACGTCACCTGGGACGAAAACCTCACGATGACCATCCAACACGATCAATACCAACCTGTAATTGAGAAAATTATAGCAAAAGCAGAGAGGCTCTCCAAATTTACATCGCACAATATCCATCGGTTGGAGCTGGAACCAGGTGGTGCTGCATGTTTAAGGGAGAGGAACTACATTCGACGCCATCGCTTCGAACGACCTGACGCTTTCCCAAGACCTACAATAGACTGCAGGGATACAATGTGTGACAGCCGAGACAAAATAGAACGGAACAATGCCACGTGCAATGTATTCGAAATTATCAACATCCTTCACACTAGTCCTTCACGAATTTGTACCACTACAGATTTGGCCCAGCTTCTGGACGGAATCCCGTACATTACAGGGTATATCGAGAAGTTTCAGACTCCTCCGCTAAGCGATCTCCTCGGTTTGGATATCGGCACGGAGTGGGGAAGATTGGTAAATCTGTGTCGCGACTACAATAATCAACATCTGGAGGCCATGTTCACATTGGGTACAATCGCATTCGCAGACAATGCGAACATGAGCCTTTTGCGAAGCATGGCTGCGATCTGCATCTTGAAGGACGCTAAGGACCTGAAACTGCCACTCCATACAGGGTATTCTGGGTTTCAATTGAATGACAAACCCACACAAGAATCTCTAGGAACTTTAATGGACCGCTATCCTGAAATATTTAATGATGGTGCAAGCTTCGACAGAGCTTATAATTTTGTGACAGAGTCTGAAGATCTTTGCAGGGATGAGTGCCACGCTCTCGCGAAGAAGCTTCTACAATAGTGGCCGTGTCCAAAACCTTCCAACAGCAACCTAACAGTAACGCACATTGATGTCAATAAGGTCCTCGGCATGGTTCAAGAGGAGTGGCTCCGGCTCTTCAAGAATTTTGAATTTGCACAGACTCTTCTGGACTTCCAAAAAGTCCTTAACCAATATCAGGGTAGATCTAATCCGATGATCTCGGAAATATCTTCACCACGCCTCCTGCGGTATTCCGCTTCAGTCCGAGATGTGGAGATTCCTACAATATCTAACTTGCTTTGAAAGAAAAGGCCCCTACATCATTTCGGCTGAAATATTCTCCACGGTCTACATTGCCAAGACGAGAGCAGTTTGTGAATTCGGCGGCTGATAGCTCTGAGCATGCATCGAATGGCACAGCACGACAAAAAACAGATTCTCCAGAACTTGAAGAGCTTACAAGCATCATCACAAAACTTGCATCTTCCAAATCTGCTGTACGAAGAGCATACGCGAAGAATATGAAAGATATTCTGGCCGCGCTTCAACATCAATCAACAGAGCACGACACAGAAGAAATTCCCACGGCTATTATTTCCAAAGTTCGGAGCCATTTGAGAGAACAACTCGCTGAAATTCGTGCTTTCCTTTCTGTCAACGACAGGCGGTATAAATGGCTACATGCCGCTCAACTATGGCCCTGCTTAATCCCGATAACTGTGCTTCAACAGCTAAGATCAACCAATTGCTATGGCTTTGATTCTAAGATAAAACACGCTCTTTTGAGCTATGGCCTCTCTATAACCCATATGCAACAGCTTTTACGAATCCACGATGCCAGTCTGAAGAACGATGTTCAACGTTTGCAAGACGAGTATAACAACCCTGCACATGAATACTGGCTGCTGATGGAGATTGAAGCAAACATGCTTATCCGAAATGTCCAAGTCGCTGTTGCGCGAGCAACCATACTTCCAGTGTCGAAATCCAATTCCGTGCTTCAGCTGAACATGGGGCAAGGTAGGATTCTGCAGAGTGGCAAAAACTTTTATTCAAGGTGCACATACTTACGTTATCGATAGGCAAGACTGTAATTATGCCTATGGTGGCGTGTGTCCTAGCCAATGGCCGCAATCTTGCCCGCTTGATTGTACCCAAGGCTCTATTGCTACAGACTGCACAAATCATTCAGTCGCGTCTGGGAGGTGTCGTTGGCCGCGAAGTTTGTCATATTCCTTTCTCCCGGAAATCACCAACTGGGGTTTCATCTGTTCAAGAGTACCAAGCCCTACATATGGAATTGATGGGTAAATGCGGCATTGTGCTCACCACTCCAGAGCACCTACTTTCTTTCAAACTTAGTGGGCTTCAGTGTCTCTCGGATTTGCGCCTAGAATCGGCCAGTCGCATAATTTCAATAACGGACTGGCTCACACGAGTTTGTCGGGATGTTGTTGACGAGTCAGATTTCTCTTTGGCTGTTAAGACGCAGCTAATTTATCCAAGTGGATCACAGCTGCCGCTAGATGGTCACCCTTATCGATGGAAGATCGCCCATGCTTTGTTAAACCTAGTGAAGGAGCATTTAGAGGAAGACCAACAGGAATTCCCTGAAAGCTTTGAGCTCGTAAAGCGTACCAATGATGGTTTTCCATTCATTCATATTCTCCGCGGGCTACTCGGTCATGGAATCCTTCTGCAGTGCCTAAAAAAAAGGTGGAACGTGCAGTACGGCTTGCATCCTAAGAGGGATCCTGTCGCGGTCCCTTTCCATGCTAAGGGAGTCCCTTCCGAACAAGCTGAATGGGGCCACCCTGATGTCGCAATAGTGCTCACCTATCTATCGTTTTATTATAGTGGTCTTACGCTCGACCAGCTACGCCAGTCTCTTGAGGGGGTATCCAACGCCGATGATCCATCCAGTGAATATGACCGCTTGACCAGTTATGTAAAAACCTTGCCGGAGTCTTTGAAGCACTGGAATCTGATTAGTACTGACGATGAAGGCCAACTTCGCGAAGTCTGGACCCATTTACGTTATTCAGTGACCGTCATCAACTATTTTTGGATAATATGGTGTTTCCAATGCATGCAAGGCACTTTCCACAAAGACTGCAAATGTCTGGATGGGATATTCCATTATTTACTACCGAGGGAAATTCGATGCTATGCAAGGGTTCCCTGTCGCACGCATTAACCACGGGATTCAGTGGCATGAACGACAACCGTGGGCTTCTTCCTCTGACGATCCGGCAGAATGACTTGCCAGAGTTATTTCACACAAATGCAGAAGTTTTAACATACCTGCTACAGCCGCGGAATCGGCTGTATGTGCTTGCTGCACGCTCACATGGTAAACGCTTATCTGAAATCCAGTTCATCAAGAAGCTTGACATGATGGGCATCCGTATTCTTATAGATGCTGGAGCACACATTTTGGAGCTGGACAACAAAATTTTCGTGCAGAAATGGATGGAAATTGATTATGGTGCTCCAGCAGCAGTTTATTTTGACGCAGGTAGCAAACCTTGGGTGGTGGACCGCAACAACAAGGAGGTCCCCTTATTAGCGTCGCCCTTCGCGGGTAACTTAGAGGATTGCTTGGTGTATTTGGATGAAGCCCATACACGCGGCACCGATTTGAAGTTTCCCTCGTTTGCGAAGGGAGCGCTCACACTGAGCCTTGGCCAAACCAAGGACCATACAGTTCAAGGTAATTACCCCTCCGCTACTGCCTCTGCGAATATCTCGCGAGTCTAACTAATTCATGCCCAGCTGCAATGAGACTCCGTCAGCTAGGGAAGTCACAATCTGTGGTGTTCATTGCCTCGCCCGATGTGAACCAAAGTATCCTGGATGTTGGAGGGAAAACCCACAAAGATAAATTGGATTCAGCAGATGTTATAGGTTGGCTTCTTGAGCAGAGCTGCAGCAGTAATGAGAACCTACAAACATTATATCTCACCCAGGGATACGACTTCTGCCATCGGGTTGAAGCTGCTTCAGCATATAAAAATTTCCTTTCGGATCAGCAGCACCAACAGGCTCTTCTAGCTGAGATAATACATCAAGAGCAACAGACACTAGAGCAATTTTATATGCCGAAAAGCGTCAATCGGGCGGTACGTGCTGATGTACACAGGCCAAAACCCATCCAAGAGTTTGTCAATGTGCTGGACCAGCAGCGTCTTGATCTGGATACTAGTAAGGTGACTACACTTCTAGAATTCACAGAGGTCGAGCAGGAACGTGAACTTGAGGCTCAAGTCGAGGAGGTACGGGAAAACCAGCGTCCTGTCTTCTTCCAGCCGCTCGAATTTCCTGGACTCCATCCAGCGGTGCTCAACTTCGCAACCACAGGAGGACTTCAAGGCTCCGGTGGATATGAGCCAGCTTTTGCTGCACTACAACGAACAGCATTAGGAAGGAAATACGGAGTCCACGGTGTGGGGAAATCAAGACTATTCGTCTCCACCGAATTCACCAGAACTATTGTTGGTGTTAGGGATAGTGACTGGTTAGATGACTTCCTTGTAAGTGCTGGACTTTACATCAATACAGGCATCTCATTAAATTATCCCCAGCGTCCCATCCACTGGATCCTGTGGAGTCCCATTACAAACACAGCTCTCGTTATCATACCGGAGGAAGCGGAATGCCTCGTTCCAACGATGAGGACACAGAACACACCGACAACACATCTTCTCGTGTATGCCGCACCATTCACCAGGAAAATGGCGTTGTTCAATCAATTGGATTTTTACGCGCTGCCACCGCTGGATGGCGACAATCGATTTCCAACCGCCTTGAAAATAGAGCTAGGAATTTTATCTGGCCGCCTCTATCTCGATTTTGACGAGTACAGTGTGACAATGCAGTATCTAAATATGGATGGTACTTGCGCTACAGAGAGATCAGGCAATTCTGCACTCCCCATCACAGTGGATAAACCAGATGAATTTGCAAATGACCCCCTCAGTTTCTTGTAGGAGTGGTTAGCCGTCACTAGAAAGGGTCGGGAGTTTGGACATACGCCTGTAGGCTACATTTGTCAAGGACGACAGCTTTCAAAGAATCACTCAATCTTCAAATGGGGCACCACAAACATGCCCATGGCTGAAGAAATGTCCAGGTTGCAGATCAATGATGATAATACAAGCATAGATGGACGAGAAGACGGTGAACTTTCTGACTAGACTTCCATCAACAATATCTTCGGACGGTATGATTATCTTTTCGCGAGAGCCTTGCTTAGTGACCTGGGAACATCCGGTTGCGCTTCTCGGCATGTATCTCTCGAATGGTTCGCGAGTAGAGATGATGAATTGGATATGGAGGTAGTTAAGAACACAAGAGTGTCGCAAAGATTGAGATGGTACATCCAACTGTAGCAGGAGCTGAAGACTTTACCAGATATGGCCTGTGGATAAGACTGATTCTTGGATTTCGGAATTTGGAAGCCGTACGCCACAGACATGCTGCGGCCTGCGAAGGCAAGACTTACGAAGCTATAAAACAGGCCATTGAGCCCATCAAACTGCTCGAAAAGTGGTGATACTCCTATTTGGCGGAAACAAGATACCGACTGTTCAATGAAGAACTCTCCAAATCAGGCTTGGCAAGAATTAAGGAATAAATTTCGGGTGAATAATCATAATTCGGGATAACTAACAGTTAGTGTTGGATTTTTTGGGGGAACGCGCCTATGTGACCTGTAACCTGGGCGCGCATGTATGGCGGTATGCTCCGCTCCAACACCGTTGAAAGCGATGGATGCTATATTGGTCAGTGACAGCTCAGCCTAGAGGGTCTTCAACCTTGACATCTCCACCGGAGGACCCACTCTAAAGATTTTCTCGACGGCCTAGACCAGTTGCTCTATTGGACTGCTTCTTAAATAATACGGCCGTTGGTGGACCTGAATTATGTGACTATATCGGGGTAAAACCCCCACAGAGCATACAATAAAATAATCATCAAGAATAATCAAGAGAATAATCAAGAAGAGCCGAGCCAGCTCAATTCATTCAAATAAGACCATTTTACCAATCATACTCTATTTCCTCTTCGGGACTAGCCGGATATCGGACGCTTGTCATGCAAACCTCCCTACTCAACCGAGGACCCAGGTACAGTGGTGTTCCACTCCCTCAGGTGATACTGTAATATAATGGACTAATGAGACCTCATTTCTGATACCTAGCTGGGCGACTCCGGTGCTAAGATTTCTTCGGTTCAGGGCCTTCCACTTTCCCGCTCTTACAGGGTGGTCTTTGCTCGTGAGTTACGGAATAAAATATGGACTTAGGTTCGTATCTCGCCTACAATGGCGTGGAATACGAATGTACTGCCTGCAAAGGTTTTTTTTTTTTTTTTTGGTTACAAACCTGCCCTGTATGCATTGTGCGCATCTTCGAGAGTACAACAGACATAATATCTGCTTAATTTGCCCTAAACCACCTAATTTTGAGACCGATAAAGAGCTTTAAGACCACCTAGTAAAGTCTTACTACTTTTGTCCAGATTGTGACCTTTGTTATAATTCTGTTCAGCAATTTCAAGGACATAATGTTACCGAGCAGCACCTCTGTGCCAAATGCGGTGACTACTTTGCAAAGAAGAATAATTTACAAATGGTATATACCGTATGCCTGCCAAGTAGAGTTAATTTAATACGTTCAATACTAACAGAACCTTCTCTTCAGCACCAACAGAAGCATCAGCCTTGAAACATAGAATACTACTGTTGTTACCAGGCCTTTAAATCTCTGTCCGGAATGTTAATCTATCTGGAGTCTGGAATTGGCGCGTCAGATGTTGCTGAGGAGGAAATTGTTAATATAGCCCGCGAGTGTTACCAGAGCTGGAAAAATATAAATGATAGTCTCGAGGATGGAGGGTGACTCTACAAATGTCCAAGCTGCGAGAGGGAGTACTGAAAGCTTTCCGCACTTTACCAACGAAGATGTTCCATTCTGCTCCTCTCCTGCCAATGGGCAAGGCTGTCTTGAGAAGCTGGAACGTTTTACTGCTCGCACACTGCAGTGGCTTCTTTAATATGTTTTTCAATAAGCCATTCTGTTTTTCACCATATTAGACCTCGTTGCGCAGCTCTCTTGGTCATCAAATATCTTCAATATGATGTACCTCCACGTCTTCATTTTCATTATCTGAGATGTTTCGCGGTCCCAAGCAAGGAGCACATTTCCTTTCCTTAAATTCAACCGAGCTCACTACCCTTTTAAAACGATGACATCCATAACAAACTATTCCGTCTCCTCCAGTGGCACCTCCAAATTGGAGCCACGCTCCAGGAAGGTAGCGCTTTAAGCGCACACCACAAGGAATGCAGAAGCGGCGCGCTCTCTCTGGAGACAGGATAGGGGACAATTTTCCACGATGGCCTTTCATCATTGCGTTGGAGAAATATATCGCTGACCGGATCTTAAAACAGATATGACAGGCAAAATAGTCAAGTCGTGCTATTGGTTGGTTTATGCCCTCTAATTGTTGTCCCCTAGAGTAGCAAGGCCATCGCTCTATCTCGAGAAGATCCATCATGGTGTAGGCTCTGGGAGATCCGTGGTCCTTCACAACTGAGAAAAGTGATTTGCACGTCCATTGCAGCGCTATTTTTGATGAATAGTCAAGGTCACGCAAGATAATGCTGAAAAGTTCAGCTGGTAAGGACAGTAGGTAATCTGCTATTGTTAAAGAGCAAGCCATACTATAGATATAGGTCGCCCAAAATGAGTTCCAGAGATTTCCGAAACTCAGGCTTTATTTAATATTTTGAAATCTAATTCACGAACCTCTTCCAATGAACCTCCAAAACGTGGTTGGCTGCGATTGGGCTCTGGTTTATGATTGTCACTGCACTTTCTATTGGTGAAGATAGTTCCCCTGTTTATGGCGAACTAGAGCACGTATGCTACAGCTGTAAAAACAGTTGCTGATGGATTAATCTGGAAGGCCCAGGATGCACTTTGCAAAATCTATGCCCAGATCTTGCACTCTTCGCTTCTTTCGAAACCTAATGCCAAGCCACGCCAAATTATTGTAGGAAATAGACTTGCCAGGCGTATAGTATTTCGGCCATTGTCCTAAATTTATGAATGTGTCAGATATAGTGGGAGGTCTGAATTGATTGTACTCAGAAGGATTATCTGCCCAATCCCTCTATGAGTGGTATTGGGTATATATGTTGGAAATCAGGATGCCTGAGGCACCTTCGGATATCCTAGTCCCACAGCGATCTGATATATCACATTTAGGGGCTAAGGGACACGTAGACATACGGAAGCATTTGTCTACGCTCTCTCTCCTAGATAGACGAACATACTCACCATGCGATATTAGATCGCGCGATAGTTTCAATATACTATCTAGTCACCGCTATCCTAGCACCTCACGACATAGCTTCTTCCACGAGATACTCAACAATATATATATTTCACATGATGTCTTAATATGGACTAGCTTTATTCTGACAGAATGCAATAAAGACTCGGTCGTCGGGATTTTTTATCCCAGCGGGAGAAAATATAGTATATTGAAAATCAGGATGCCTAGGGCACCTTCGGGCATCCTAGTCCGCAGTGATCTGGCGATAGTAGATAGTAGATCACATTCAGGGGCTAACTCAACAGCAGCTTGAAAAATAACAAGGCAATCATACAACATACGATGTATCAGCATGATAAAGGTAACTATTGGGAACATGCTAGGCTGCTTACAACGAATATATTGAGACAGAAAGCGTTGACACCTATTCACACGTAATTTTATTGCTTGCCCGTATTACAAATTACAGGAAATACGTTATTAATAACCCCAAATAAATGTCAAATAATATGGCCGTTGGTGGACCAGAATCATGTGACTGGATCGGGGTAAAACCCGCACGGAGCACACAACAAAATAATCACTCAAGAATAACCAAGAAGAATAATCAAGAAGAGCACAACCAGCTCAATTCATTCAAATAAGACCTTTTTACCAATCGTACTCTATTTCCTCTTCGGGACTAGCCGTATATCTGACAATAAATAGCTTAGCCACCGCGCCGGAGACGAGTACTCCTATTCTAGATTTTTCATTCTGCTCCGTGCCTTTGTTTTCCCTCCAGCTATCACAGGAATGGCCATTTGATAGGCTACAGAACTGGATACTTGTCGAAGTACTCCGTATTAAACTAGATTATTCAATCCATTTCAAAATTAACCTAGGTCTGTCATACCCCGGGTCCGTTACGCTGTAGGCCGAGTGCCAATCCGATTCGAATCCCTATACTTAGCTAGCGCCTTGGCAAGCATGCGGGGTTTTTACTTAACCCCGAGACTTCTCACTTTTCCTGTAACTATTCAGGCAAGGTACTGCTCAATCTACGTCTTGTCTCCCTTCAAATGCTATATTTCCGTGAATCCATAGCATATACGGAGTAACTTCCGTATATGAAGCTCTATGGTTTACTTGATCGAGCCTTTATTCACAACAGGGATATATGCCCTCCTCTTGAGCAGTGATAGGTGGCATTTGATAGCCATCGCCAAAAGCTGTAGCCATGACGAAGTCCGCTCAGATGCGAGCAGGCTAGTTGGTTAAGGCATCAAGGCTAATATGGTTCTTTCCTGTTAAGCCAGATTCCATGACAACGCCTCTAGATCAGGGAAGTCTCGCCTGTAGATTTTGAACACAAATGACATTTCGCATCGCTAATGACTTTCACTTGATGAGACTTTAACGATCACAGGAACTATTATTATGCTGTTTCCAAATCAGTAATTGTTATATGTAGAATCTAGTCTTATACTCACGGCGGATATCACGGAGCGAATCCTATTAGCATCATCGACGCTCACTCTCGGTGTTATGTCTCTTAAAAGCTGTTCATAATCGCGCACTTTACTTGAGAGCAATCTCAACTCTCTATTCGGTGGCCAATAGCTCTTAGTGGTACGGTAAGTGCAGATCGGGCATATCGGGGGTATCAAACCTTTCTCTCCATTCCCGCTTCCTTGCTGAATACCAACATTGTATCTGAGTCGCAGCGCAGCGGCGGCACTGTGGTTGTTGTCCATCGCATTTTGACTTACGCTCATGGCATGGACCGCACGCATGTTGTACTCGACGGTTCGACCCTGTTATTATTCTGCTACGGATCCTGGATATTGGTAACTTTGATGCCGGGCGTACATTGGTATTTGCATTCAGGTTCTTGAGGTTTTTAAGTCGTCCGATCTCCTCTTGATGGTAGTCCCCTTGCTCGAGTGGCTGGTGCAGTTCTTGCTGGGATACACCGTCTGTTCTGTGTACAATACGGGAGATTTCCATAATGAACACTAACAGTCACTTTGTCACTTTCGCCTAGCAGGGAAAGCCCTGTTTGCGGGAGGACCCAAATCAAGTTACATCCACTTCCCCAGAGATAATAACGCCGTATAAATCCCACGAAAGGCGGTTCCGTGCCAAGCGATAACGTGCAGAATGGATAAATAAGCGATGAGAGAGTTAACAGAGAAATATGGTACCACTAGTCGGCGAGTTGTTTGGGACAAGTGGAAGCAGGGAAGGGACTCGTAACTCTACATTATATTGGGAGGTGGGCAAGTGTCAGTACATCTATCCGGGTGTACGCGAAGTAGTAAGAACACTCTCGTAAAGTACGCACTAAGTGGACTTTTGTTTACATACGATCAGGTACCTCTTGGACTTGTGTTCGATATAGTGGGTCTGAATTGATTGTAATCAGATGTTTTGCCCAACCCCTCTATGAGAGATATTGGGTATATATATTTCACATGATGTTCCGATCTGGACTAGTTATTCTGACCACTTGGTTAACGTCTTTGTCACCGCCCAACGCCCGCCACCAACCAACGCCCCGGCATTTTGCTCACCGACTGTTCAACTCAGCAACTTCAACACCACATATCTCAGCCAATATGGCTCCGATTGATGAAGCGCTGGAAGCAATCGCTTTATTGGAGCCAGGAGAATCATTTTAATATACTAAAATTGCGAAACAGTGTGGTGTTGATCGATCCACGCTTGCGAGGCGCCATCAAGGAAAACAGGTGCCAAGAGATGTCAGGGACGAAAGCCAGCAATTACTCAACAACGCGCAGTCCAAAATGCTTATAAAGTATATAAATAAGCAGTCGCAGAGAGTTCTGTATCCTGCGCATGAGTTGCTTCGGAATTTTGCTAAAGAAGTCTGTGGAAAAAAGCCAGGAAAGCAGTGGCCAGCGCGCTTCTTGAAGCGCCATCAAAATGATATTATCTCGCGATATACCGGAGCAATCGATCAATCAAGAAAACGGGCAGATTCAGCATATAAATACTCTTTATACTTTGATTACGCAGCTGCTAAAATGGACAAATACAATATAGAACCGCAGAATATCTACAACATGGACGAGAAGGGATTTCTCATCGGAATACTACCTAAAGGCCGCAGGATCTTTTCTAAAGCAAAATATGAGAGGGACAGCTCTCTACAACGCTTGAAAGATGGTAATCGAGAATGGATAACGACAATTGTATGTATTTGCGCCGACGGAACAGTAATATCACCTGGTCTGATCTATCAAGCATCCTCTGGCAAAATACAAGATTCCTGGCTTCAAAATTTTGATGAAAAGCTTCATAATTGCTTCTTTGCCTCTTCAGGATCTGGATGGACGAATGATGAGCTCGGATATTAATAGCTTACTCCTGTTTTTGACCGAGAAACGAAGCCAAAGGCAAAGCGGAGCTGGAGACTTTTATTTCTTCATGGCCACGGATCCCACGTCACATTGAAGTTTTTATATTTCTGTGAAGCAAATAGGATTAATATAATAACTTATCCGCGTTATTCAACGCATTCTCTGCAGCCGCTTGATGTCAGTATCTTCTCTCCGCTTGCTAAAGCCTATTTAGACGAACTGGAGCAATTTCTGCATTAATCTCAAGGCCTCTGCAGTATTACAAAGCGGGACTTCTTCAGAATGTTTTGGCCAGCATGGCAAAAGGCTTTGACACCCAAAAACATTCAATCTGGCTTAAGAAGTACTGGTATATAGCCATTTAATTTTGAAGCAGTTCTGCAACGTTTCCTGCGCCCCGGAGACCAACGGCCAACATCTAGTAGTTCTTATCTCTCCTCCAAGTCAGTTGTTAATAGTGATAACTGGCGTTTTATCCAGCAAATAATCAGAGCTGCTGTTGTTAATTACTATAATAAAAGTGCAAAAAAGCTTTCTTCTACAATACACCAGCTTGCCACAGAAAATGAAGCGGCAACGTGCTAAGCCTCTGGTATTTTAACTACAAGAGCCAGACAGCGGTGGTGCGATTTTTTACTCGCCTAAGAAAATACAGCAAGCGCGCAAGCTTCATGCAGCGAAAGACCGAGAAGTAGAGCTCGCAAAAGCTTCAAAAGAGCAAGATAGGCTTCTCGACAGCAGGTAAAGGAAGAGAAACAGCGATTACTTCAAGAAAAAAAGGAAAAGCGAGCTGCTGATAAAGTTCTTCGCGAGCGCCAAGAAAAGAAAAAGAAGCGTTAAAAGGAGGCAGAGCGAGTTAATAAAGAGGCAGCTCGGCAGCTTCAAAATGGCTTCAAAACACCAAAGCGAGGTCAAAAGAAGCAATCTACAACAAATACTGGTCAAAATACTATAGATATTACTTCTATAGCGCCTGAAGTGTCCCTTGAGGCCTCTGTACCGCAAAGTCGTCGCGGCAGGTAAATACGCCTCCCCCGCCGCTTCCGTGACGCTTAAAATTTGTATATAAATACTTTAGAAGCTCAAGAACAATACACCAAAAAATCTCTTCAAAATATAAGTTGTACATGGTTGAATAGCTTCATTTGTTGCCTCGTTCGCTGGCTTCGGAGCGGGGTGTTGGTTGGTGGCGGGCGTTGGGCGGTGATAGACGTTTGGTATTATGGCCGTGGGTGTACCAGAATGATGTGACTAGATCGAAACCCCCAAGGAGCACACCACAAAAACAACAACCAAGAATAATCAAGAAGAGCCCAACCAGCTCAATTCATTCAAATAAGAACTCTTTACCAATCGTACTCTATTTCCTCTTCGGGACTAGCCGTATATCTGACAACCGCTAATGATATTTGATGTGACTCGGGGCGAGGGGGCGGGGAAGATGGTAGACTTGGTAGTAAGCTCATCGAACAGCTGCACGCAACCAGTTGCCTAATATAGGGAACGATATACCAAAATGGTTGAAGAACTCAGCGATGTGAACCCCGCACGTTAGGCATCCAATCAAGATGCAGATCATTACCTACTTTATCAAAGATCTTTTATCTTTGACTTACCCGGAGCTTTGTTGCCTACTTTACTTAGAAGTCAACACCCTCTTCGTCTTAAACTGGGAGTTCGATGATTGGCCTTTCTCCCACCAATCACGCCACATAGAAACTCACTCCTAATCACCGCCTTATTATTTTTTCCGGGGTCTCCAACTCTCCAGCGTCCCCGCCCAAGTCCAAAGTCTTCTGCAATCCCCAGTTTTCTTGCCTCGGCATTTTCCTCTCGAATGGACGGACTTTCGTCTACGGCTAGCGTTATCGCTGTTATTCAACTCTCTGGGAGTATCGTGAAGATTTGTGGGCGTTACATTCAGGAGGTGAAAGATGCACGAGACAACATCATTACCTTACAACGGACGGTTGCAAGCCTTGAAGGGACTCTTCAGAAATTAAAATTATTTCTTCAAGACCCTAATAACACAAGCCTATCCATCTCCTCGTCGCTAGTCAAGAATATCACCGACTGCCTTTCAGACTTGGGATCCCTAGAAAAGAAGATTGATCCAGGGAGGGGGAGGGGAATGATGAAAAGATTTGGGATTAGAGCCTTAAAATGGCCGTTGAAGCGCACAGAATTGGACGGAATCATCCGAAATCTTGAGAGATACAAATCATCTTTCACCTTATCTTTACAGGTTGACCAGGTGTACGCTTCTCGATAGAGACCATTCGAGTACGATTAGCTTATTCCATATAGGGTTCTTTTATCCAGTGTGGCTCGGTTTGCGGACCGGATCGACCAGAATTTGGGTCTTGACAGATTGCCGATCGCGCGTGGGGCCGAGTTCGACTCCTACATGGATCAACATGAAGATGAATGTCTTCCTGGAACCAGAACTGAGCTCCTTCGCCAGGTGGCAGAATGGGCTATGTCACCACAAGGCAAATGCATATTCTGGTTAAATGGTATGGCTGGAACGGGGAAATCAACCATCTCCCGAACAGTGGCAAAAACCTTCAAGCAAGCCAACTCACTAGGAGCAAGCTTTTTTTTTAAGAGAGGTGAAGGGGATCGAGGCAACACTATGAAGCTTTTCCCGACAATCGCACGACAATTGGTGCCCAGGTTTCCTGAACTAATGCATAGTATCCAACAGGCAATTTATGACGACCCTGAAATTGCAACAAAGTCGCTCAAAGAGCAGTTCGACAGGCTGCTTCTTCAACCAATCCTGGGACTCAGAGCGTCTCGTCAGCAAGTCCCATCTGCGGTCATAGTGATTGACGCGTTGGATGAATGTGAACGCGAAGATGATGTACGACTTATAATTCAGTTGCTCTCGCGGCTGGGAGAGGCAGATGCCATTCGCCTTAGGGTATTCTTGACAAGCAGACCTGAATTACCAATACGTCTAGGGTTTCTGAAAATTGCAGGCCACCACTATCAGGATGTGGCTCTCCATGACATTTCCGACGCAGTGACAGAGCGCGACATATCGTTGTTTTTTAGATCGTCGGCTTTCGCAAATCAGAACTGACCGGTTGCTACCGGTCAACTGGCCCGGAGATACAGAATTTCGGGCGCTTGTCAACCTGTCCGTTCCGCTTTTTATCTTTGCCGCTACTGTGTGTCGTATTTTTGAGGATCCCCAGTGGGACCCTTTGGATAGTCTCAACGAGATTCTCACACGCCGAAATGAGGAATCCAAGCTAGACAAAACATATCTTCCCGTTCTGAATCGGCTTTTCAACAACCACAGCGAGAAACGAAAAAAACAGCTAGTTCAAGAATTTCGAGAGATAGTTGGTACAATTGTGATGCTTGAAAGCCCACTCTCAATTCTCTCACTCTCAAAGCTTACGGGTCTCTCTGAGAGACTGGTTGCCATAAGGCTGAACTCGTTGCACTCAGTGATACGTGTGCCCGAAGAAAATACATTGCCAGTGCGGCTCTTCCATCTTTCATTTCGAGACTTCTGTCTTGATCCGGAAACATTGAAGAAGACCCCGTTGTGGGTGGATAAGGAAGAGATGCATCAGAAATTAGCCACCCAATGTCTTTCACTTTGTCAAAGTTTAAAACGAAACACCTGCGGCCTGCCAAGCGATGGAACTTTGCGTGAGGAGATTAATCCCCTTATCATCACAGATTTTTTTTCGCCAGAGCTACAATACTCTTGTCACTTTTGGGCACATCATCTAGTGCGAAGTAAGCACCCGGGCTTGATGATACACGATGCATTACTATTTTTACAGAACCATTTCCTGCACTGGGTGGAAGCTATGAGCATTCTGGGACTCCTTTCTGAAGTTGTGGAGATCATTGATATACTACAGTCAGCCGCTCTACAGGTAGGTTTTTGGGGTAATCCTACAGTGTTTATTCACGCTAACTGATGTAGGGTGACAGACATTACGAATTATCCGATTTCTTGCAGGATGCAAAGCGTTTTGTTCTGAAAAATAGACAAATCGCCCATGTAGCCCCTCTTCAGATTTATTGCTCAGGCCTCGTATTTGCGCCCAGAAAGTCAATTATCCGTAGGGAGTCTGAGAAAGAGCTTCCTCAGTGGATTTGCAGATTTCCAGATGTTGAAGATATCTGGAGCGCTGAGTTGCAGACTCTCGAGGGCCATTCGGATTGGGTTTTTTCTGTGGCATTCTCTCTTGATGGCGGGCTACTTGCGTCTGGTTCCAGCGACAATACTGTCCGTCTCTGGGATCCCATCACGGGAACCCTGCAGCAGACTCTTGAGGGTCATTCAGATTGGGTTCGGTCGGTTACATTCTCCCCTGATGGCCGATTGATGGCGTCTGCGTCCAGCGATAACACTATCCGACTCTGGGATACCGCCACAGGATCCCTGCAGCAGACTCTCGAGGGCCATTTGGGCTCAGTTTGGTCAGTGGCGTTCTCCCCCGACGGCCAGATCCTGGCGTCCGGCTCCTACGATCAGACTATGCGGATTTGGGATCTTGCCACATGCACCCTGCGGCAGACGCTCAAGGGCCATTTAGGTTCAGTTCAGTCGGTGGCATTCTCCCCTGACGGCCGATTATTGGCATCCGCATCCGGTGATAACACTATCCGACTCTGGGATCCCGCCACAGGATCCCTACAACAGACTCTCGAGGGCCATTTGGGTTCAGTTTGGTCAGTGGCGTTCTCCCCCGATGGCCAGCTACTAGCGTCCGGCTCCAGCGATCAGACCATCCGGCTCTGGAATGCCTCCACAGGCACCATACATCAGACGCTCGAGGGTCATCTCGATTGGCTTCGATCGGTGGTGTTCTCCCCTGATGACGGCAGGCTGCTTGCGTCTAGCGACAATGGTCAGGTTGTCCGACTCTGGGATACTATCACAGGCACCCTAGTACAGAAGCTTGAGGGCCACGTAAACTCGGTTTGGTCAGTGGCATTCTCCCCCGACGGCCGACTACTAGCATCTGGTTCCTATGATCAGACAGTTCGGCTCTGGGATCCTGCCGCGGGCAACCTACAGCGGGCCTTCGAGAGCCATTCGGCTCGGATTCGGTCTGTAGTTTTCTCCCCTGATGGCCGGCTGCTTGCATCTAGCTCGGATGATCAGACAGTGCGGCTCTGGGACCCTATCACGGGCAACCTACAGCAGACGCTAAAGGGGCATTCAGGCTCGGTGTTGCTGGTGGCATTCTCACCAGACAGTCGATTGCTGGCGTCTGGCTCCATTGATCAGACAGTGCGACTCTGGGATCCAGCCACGGGTACCTTATTGCAGACGCTCGAGGGCCATTCAGATTGGCTTCGGTCGCTAGTATTCTCCCCTGACAGCCGGCTGCTTGCGTCTAGCTCCGATGATCGAACTGTGCGGCTCTGGGACACTGCTTCGGGCACCCTATTGCAGAAGCTTACGGGTCATTCAGATTGGATTCGTTCGGTGGCGTTCTCCACTAACGGCCGCCTGCTGGCCTCTAGCTCTGATGACCGGACTGTGCGGCTCTGGAATACCGCCACGGGCGCCTTGCAACAGACCCTCAAAGGGCATTCTGATTGGGTTCGATCGGTAGCATTCTCCCCTGACGGCTTGCTTCTGGCTTCCGGTTCCTATGATCAGACTGTTCGCATCTGGGACCTTACCACTAGCGTCCTACAGTGGATTCTCAAGGGTCATTCGAGTTCAGTTCGGTCGGTGGCGTTCTCCCCCGACGGCCTACTGGTGGCGTCTAGCTCCGATGATCAGACAGTGCGGCTCTGGGACCCCGCCACGGGCAATTTGCAGCAGACCTTAATGGCCGATGGAGTGGTCACAGATCTGAGATTTTCTGATGATGGCCATTATCTGAGAACTAACTTGGGATCCCTCGTAATTCAGCCCTCGTGTAGCAACTGTACCCCTAACCTCGGTCAAATGCATCTCGAGATTTTTATGAGAGAAAGTCAATGGATAACTATGAACGGCAAAAAGGTACTATGGCTCCCTCCAGAATCTCGGTCTAGCTGCTCGGCGATTATAGGTAGTACATTTGCCCTAGGTCATGCATCAGGTAGAATTTCATTCATAGAATTTGACGCACGGTAGGGGTCAACGGATGCTTATCGCAAACCTACCTCGTTTCCCTAATCCTTTCCCAAGTGAGCGCCTGGAAAAACTAAAGATTTCACCCGGTTTAGACGGCCCTAGGTCACAAGCAGAATGTGGTACTCGTCTCTAGTCTGGAGACCAACAGCGAACAAGTATTGATTCTATGTCACCAGCTAACTATGTACTGTCAGAGTTCGGTTTGCTGAGCAAGTGCGGGGACCCAACCAAGTTAACTAGTTAGTACGTAGGACGATTTTTGCCACGCTGTCTCTTTTCAAAATCAATACCCACATCAACTACTCATAGTACATTCACCTCGGAGGCAAGATATTGCGTTGATTTTTCTCAGTCATTGACTACTTTCCTTGTACTGTATATCTTTTGTCCAAGGCGGATCCGCTTTAATTGAGGGAATTCAATCTAGCTGCACAGCGTATTAATCCTCTTATATATATTTTTGTTATTTTAATATGCTGTAAATATAATTGCTGGGTGTCAGACGAAGGGATGCATAGTTTGATGGATATCAAAACATTTAGCAGGGTTAGTAGGACTGTTGGAGGATAAAAACAGATAGCCAACCATTAGCCCGAGCAACATGTATGCATGCTCTGTAGAGGCTTACGAGACACAAGACAGCCAGGCGAGAAGGCTGGGCCGGAGGCGGGCGAGCGGACATTTCCGAAGAAACAAGAAAGGAGTGACTATAGGGACCGCAGTTATCAACACTAACCCGAAAAGTTCTAAAAGGTTTAATCTAGCCCAATTAGCAGTATTTGTGCCAAGAAAAGGTTGACTATAGACAATCTAGTTCCTGTATGTACTGAAATTGTGGGGTGACCCGACGTGTTCGGGGGTCTATCCTGTTGCTGGCCCCAGCGATGGGCAGACACCTCTACGCGGTGCTGGGGATAAGTATTCAAGCAGCTTGGTCTGGTGCTGCTTGAAGAAACTAAGATCTGCCCAAAGGAGATGGAAATGGTGGTCTGGGATGGTTGGACGCGGCTTCGACGTGGCCGTGAAAACTCTGACAAGCAGTGAACAACACCAACGACAAATAGCCAAGATGCTTGGTTCCCATCTTGCCTCGCTACAATCGATGAACTGATGAATCCTGCCGATCCCTCGGATATGCGGTGACTAGACGTGTTCCGGGGTCTATCCTGTTGCTGATACGGGGAAAGATTGGAAGAGCATTTAATAATATTTCAGATATGCTGGGAGGAGCAGGGCAAGGTAAGGAGGGCAGGTTAAAGATGCCGCGCAAGGCAGTGGCATCTTAAATGCGGTACTGGACTTTGCAGAGGCGTCTCAGAGATTTCGAAGTCGCGCGCCACGAGGGCCCCAGAACAGAACACCAGGCATCGGCCAACACAGGCCTTGACGAGGCTCCAAGTTCGTCGGGAAGTAATAGTTTACTGTAAATAGATGCGCATATAGAGTAGTGACAGTAAATTCTTGAACATTCCAATCCGACATTTTGAAGATGGGCAAGTGTGGTTTGATGGCAGAACCGGATGCGGGAGAGGAGAGGGGGGGAGAGAGAAGAAATGACAGAAGGCTCCATGGTGTGTAGACAGGCGAAAAACTGGTCAGAAGGGAAGAGGGGCCAATGGCAATAGGCCCCTGTGTTCGTCTGTGATCTGCACATCACAGATCTGTTCATTGCCGATCCCCGTTCAAGGCCCCGTTTAGTCGATGCCCCACTTGGTACAATTTCGTGTTTAGACGATAGAAATCTCCAGCACCGATTCTCTCTTATATGTAAAATCCCCCCGTAAGACGATAGTCGCAGTTAGTTTATATTATTTTCCTGAAAGTGGGGCATCAAATAAACAGGGTTTGACTGTAATGCAACCACGGGTTTATCCTTAGCAACCCGAGAGTAATATCGAAGGATGCACCAAGGAAAACGAACACGCGTGTGCACAGACTATACCCCAGTCAACGCAGGAACAGAAGACTATGACTGGCGACCACAAGACATTAGTCGCACTGTGGTGGAATCCTCTGCACGTCTCGACGGCACGAACCCCCGCGCGAGAACCTGGCGGGACACATCACAGCGATCAGCACGTTGGAAGGAATAGTGGCGCAGGCACAAAAGAGCTGAAAATAAGCCCTAGATGCCAATCAATGTCTAACTGGCAACATTCGGCCCAGAGCCACCCCACCTGGTGGAGACTGGACATGCTATCCTGACGAGGCAATCGGGAGAATAGCCTGGTATCTTTGTCTGGTATTTAATATGACCTGCTTCCGCTAACAGGAAGGGGAAGGATCAAGCTTTCACAGAGCATCGTCTTTTATCTCTAAGTGCTTCCAACCTATTCCTCTTCTCATCATGCCTTCTGAAGGCTCCACGATTTATTCTCAAGGCTTTAACTTTGGAAGTTTCGTTCTGCATGGGGTGGACAACCGCACAGGCCAATATACCTGCAGCGTCACTCTCTATGAGGCGCTCGCAGAAGCTCGGAACTGTCCCACTTTTAAACTTTCCCTCAATTACAACGCCCTCAACCCGGAAGATATCGGGTTTGGCAAGGGTTGGGCCTTTAATCTCTCTCGCTACCAGCATCGTCAGGGCCGAACAATCTCGCTGGTAACCGGCGAGCAGTATCAGGTCTATGACCCCGCGAGCTCCGTGTCACAGACCAAAAGCTCAAAAGCTTCCGCTTTGAGAAGCAGGGCTCTAACTATCATGTCATCTACAAGTCCGGACAGCGCAAGATTTTGTCAAACGTCAACAATGTCTACAAGCGGTCTATTCCTATTAAGATCTTTGCGGCCATCGGCCGATCGCTGAAGCTATCGTGGACGCCTGTAATGTCGGTTCCCCGGCTCACCAAAGTCAGCGATGGGTCGCAGGATTTACTCACCATCAAATGCGAGTCTTGCTCCTCCACAATCACTTGCCACCCCGAAACTCCCCAGAGCGGTACTTTCGTTCTTACTCAGAAAGACAAGAGACTGTCTCATGTAAAGCTGCCTGGAGATGGCAAGTCTAGCACTGATCGCTCAAGGCTGGAATTTTATTTATAAAAAGATTACAAATTTACATCTCGTCACCCAAGTCACCAGCCCGACTGGCCTAGTTAAGATGATGACCTATAAGCCGACGGGCTTTGTCTTTCCAGAGGTGCCCCTCAGCCACACAATATATCCTGGCAAAAAACAGCCTCCAATCAAAACCTTCTACTCATATTCAGGGAATGACCATCATAACTTCTTGGGGTATGGCGGGGTGAACAACTGGAGTGACAGACGTAACAATATATACTACTCCCTGCCGATTACAAGTACACTTCGACCGTCCAGTTAAAGGCGGTGCACGACCAAATACCCATACAACAAGTTCCATCTAACTCTCAGCATCAAGCGGCAGCATTACACAAAGTGTGAACAAAGGACGTCACCTACCACGCTGCTGACGGACGGAGGTTTGAAGACCAACCTGCACAGTATTAGCTGCCAAGCCTTGTGGAAACGACGTATGCTAACTTGGCCCTGGACGGAGCTTTTGCTTAAAAAAGTTTCGTACTCGTTCGACGAGTGGGAAACTCCAACAGAGACAAAATGCCGGATGGAATCACGTCTAGAAATTAGTACTTCCCTGCGACGGGAGAAGAAGGCGGTTGTCCTCCTAACCCACATGGTTTTGTACGATATCTGAGACTGAAACCAAGGCTTCAATGGGTGGAGGTCCAATCAGGAGTAAGGGGTATAAATACGGGCGGCTTGCCTTCTATTTCGGCAGCAGCGAAATACGCCGATTATTTTGTTGTAGCAAAGGAGTAGCAGTCACTAGAGATGGCAAGCATTTTATGAGCACAGAACACTCCTATGTGAACGATCCAGACTCTGTGGACCATGGCCATATTCGGCAGCACATTAACAAGCTGAATGGGGAGTACCCAAGTATGCGGTTGTTTGAGTATGGCCATACCCATTGCCTGAAGACAAAGATCAAAATAATGAGCTTCGATGGCCTTGCTGTCCAAAGTGAGGTGGTCTGTAGCCAGTTCACCGGAGCAACTGTGAGCCAGGCGGATCAACACAGGGTGCGAGTGGAATTCAAGCACGGTGCAATAGGTCGTGTTGTTAAGGTGAAGATTGGCACAGGCACACTGTATAAAGCAAGCGGAAACACGAATACACCCTTTCTAAGGACGGAAAGGGACTCGAGCTCACCCTGACAGATGCCCGAGGGTACAGGACGCGAATTATACACGATGCGATGGAGAGGAAGTTCCAGTATAATAAATCGGAAAACGGTGGTGCCGGAGACTTCCGTATGTCCAGCAGCTCAATTATAATGCCCTAGGCCAGTGTACCGATATTAAGGACATTAACTGGATCACACTTCCACCGGGACAGAACTCCGCACCAAGAGGATGATGGAATATGATTACTGGGGTCAAGTCTGCAGACAATTAATCATGCTGGCGTTGCCACCATTTCATCCGTCGATCCAATCCTCCAGGCCAAGACAACCGGCATTGACGGCAAGAGTCTGACCAGGTCCACACCAAGCATCCGGGCAGGTCACCAGCTCGCTATTCTAAGTCAGATGGTACTATATACGGCAATAAAGATTTTGAATTTAACTGCTGGGGCCGTCTAATCAATCAGACCGATACTCTGGGACAGACAACAGAGTACAAGGTAGACAGCTTCAATCGCGTTGTTGAGACTTCATGGCCCGGCGAGTCGTTGTCTATGCAGACCGAGTATGTGCCTCATAGCACATCGCCTATTACAGCTTCGGTGAAGTGCAAAAACCAAACAGTAGGCCTTCGAGACTATGATGGTCTAGATCGTCTTGCACACCAGAGTTTGGTAACGCAGTGGCACTCTTACTTATCGCCAAATGTGCCATAGCCAAAGCAGATAATCATCTCTAAAGGGAACACGCATGATATGGACTACGAGGCCGCTCCACAGTTCTCCATAACGAGCATGAAGAGTTCCGGCTTTACTGACCCATTCCAGTATAACAATCAGACTGGGGCGGTCCTTTAGATGAGAAACAGCTACAGTACCGTCAGCCGCGAGATGCTAATCTCTGGAAAGCTCGCGTTAGAGAGGATCGAGATGCAGAATAGAGTTCAGCTTAATGCAAAGTCATCCTATTTATTAAATGGGAAGTTGCTCTCCTATAAGGATGGTCACGGTCAGAAGCATACGCTGCGTTATACAAATTTGGGAGACCGACTCAGCTGGTTCCGATCTGCAGTATGACAAAAACGGTTGCTTAACCCAGGATAAAGTCCGGAGAAGCCTGGAGTACGACACCAGGGGCCGTTTAAGGGCTGTGCACGACGCCGCTGGCAAGAAGCTGTGCAGCTACCAGTACGACGCCACTGGAAAGCTTGTATGTCAACAAGTCAATGGGAAGCCGGATACGCATCTCCACTATCGCGGAGTGCTTTGGTAACCACCAACGGCACCGTCAAACGAGCTTCATCTCAGATAGGAGCACCTACTGGGGCCAGACGTGCAAGGATAGCAAGGGCAATACAGATGCCCAGCTTGGGCCTGTGATGTGAACCAGTCCGTCTTGGCCTCGGTGCAAGCAAAAAACACCGCCCAAGTCTCCCAGCGGAAGTACACTCTGTACGGCTTCAGCACAGGAGGATCTCCAATTGGCCTCAATGGCCAGTGGCGCGATCCCATCACGGCGTAGTACCATCTCGGCAATGGTTGCCCGCATGTACAATCCAGTCCTGAGGCGCTTCCATTCTCCAGATGGCTGGTGTCCCTTTAAGACAGGAGAGATCAACCCCTACGGGTAATTCCTCAGAGATCCCATCAACCGCTCCGATCCCTCAGGCCGATCCAGCAGCGTCAGTACCAGCTCCCTCGGGCGAATATTAACACTAGCTGGTGTCGGCATACTAGCCAGCATTGCGGCCGGCATCCTCACAGGTGGTGCCTCGCTGGCCATCGAGGTCGGTGTCGCCATCGCTGTGGGCGCGGCTTCAGATGCCGCGGCTCATTACCTATGATGCTTTATCGGAACGAGAGTTCCCGACATGAAGTAGCCTCGCTTCCGATGCCGTCTGGGGAGGTGTCGGTGCAGAGGCGGGAGTCCTCGCCGCACGAGAATTGGCAAAGGGCGTCCAGACCCTCGGCAAGGTGGCGGGCAAGCTTTCGAGTGCCTCCATTGACTCTGTAGATACGGCACTCGCCCTGCAAGTCTTGGGAGTCATGAATGAGGAGACCCCGTTGATATATTTCGAGCGGATAGAAGGTAACCCTGCCTGGCGGGGAATCCTTACCCATGGGGCAGAGGGTAAGCTAATGGGCCAGAACACTGGGATTTATGCCGAAGCTCTATTCATGGAGCCTGATAGATTTATTAAGGGCATGAGAGTAGTGGCTCCGCATTTATTGAATCCGGCGCAGCCGTACGAAAGACTCTTTCTCTTTGCCTGTAACAGCGCAAACGGAAGTCCGGCGAGCACTGCACAGACTCTTGCAAATATCCTACAAAAGCAGGTCGTGGGCTATAGTTGGATAACTGAAGGCCTCTTATCTGCCAGGCTTGGGGGGGGGATACAGTCGTCGAGCGCGTTGGAGAACAAGGGAGGCATCTCCTCTGTATTCCCGAATACAGAGCCATCAGCACTCCATATTTTTTAACCCACGCAGCCGGTGCCGACTCCTGCTCTCCAGGCACTTCTGAATATCCGAAGCTTATATTCTCGATGAGGAGATTGAGAGAAGAATATGTCTGCTTATTCCAGTTAATGATAGGTTAATTGGACCACGACATATACATCATGCGCTACGACTTGCCTGAGCTGTATATTCGCTTTATCTTGTAATCGCCTTCGGGGAGGACAGGAAGAATAGATATAGGTTTTTGAGCTGCGCTGATAAACTGGGCTTGCCAAACCTTCACTACTTGATTTTATGTTTGGCAATACAACGTATAATGTTGTTTACCCACTGGAATGGCAACCATGATCTACGAATTCTTTTATACCCAGTGTCATATTTTGCTTTTGTCGATTTCGATCATGTATCATATAGCTCTTGTAGTGCCATAGTTCCATAGCTATTTTGAATCTAGGCCGCGCGCTAATCATTGGGCTTGTTTCTTCTCCTTTTCTTTGTTCCTCTTCATCTTTCTCAAATCCCTTTAGCCTGCTTATGCTGAGTTTTCTTAGCTCCATTTTTCTTGCTGGAGTTGGTTCCCTAGGACCATCAGCTCTGTATATCCACTAAACGAAGGGGTTGTAAGGTCTTTTTCTTTATTGCATCCATCTGAATCGGCCTATGAAATCTCATGCCTGCTTTTGTTATAAGACACGGAAAGATGACCGAGGTGTGGGTATCGATTCTCCGGCTGAGTTATTGAATGACCCTTGAGAGACATTCAGGGCCGGGTCCATCTTCCCCAGTAGTGGGCTTCTTCCGGGACCGCAGGCTGGTGCTGATAGAAGGGGTTTCCTGCGTGCCGTTCAGGGTAAGGGAGTTTTTCGCGTTGATAAAGAAACTCGCCGCTTTAGTGAGAGTACTTCTCCTGCGCTTCTTCTCGCCAGTCGGACCCTGATCTTCGTTAAGCCGACGGCTGAAGAATCCAGCTCCAGACGGAGAGAATTTCTTCTCACGACTCGGGCTAATGTCTTCGGAGGAGACGGCTAGGGTGCTAATGTCAATGCCGGTTTCCGGAAGTGAGTTCTATCTATCCTTGGGTAGGCTCGAGAGCCACTGAACATTCTGTTCAGCAACCCATCCTGCGAAGAGAAGCTGCGTCATTTATTTCCTGCCAGCTTGATTGTGTTCCTTCAACGGGATTGTCAAACAAGACGGGATCGGAGATGGCGGGCAGAAGGCGCCGATGTCAACGCACGGGGTTGGAAGTACAGAGGCAACACTCTATTCTGCCTCTTCTCAAGGCCACAAAGAGGTCGTGCAGCTGCCGCTAGAGAAAGGCGCCGATATCAACGAGCGGGATAGGGAGTACGACGCAACGCTCTCCCTGCTGCCTCCTCACAAGGCAACAAGGAGGTCGTCCAGCCACCACTAGAGAAAGGCGCCGGTGTCAACACACAGGGCGGGCTATTCGGCAACGCTCTCCATGCTACCTCTTTAAAAGGCGGGTTCCGGAGTCAATAGCAGGGTCCTGACATAGTATTCTGTGATGAATACAGAAATCAGCCTATCATTACATCACTTATATTTTCTAAATTCTGTTCAAAGGAGGGCCTGGGAGGCGTGGTATATTTATAACTTTAATATATATGTCGCATAGTTGGAAGGGACTTATAATGTTGGACACCTCTAATATTACTAATTAGCCGGCTTATTTGATGCTGCAGGTAATGACGGATGAATGTCAAGATTAAGGGGAGGAAGAGGAGCAACCACCGTCTTCATTCGGACGCAGCTGTAATGAATTACCGGAAATTCAGAGGATACTTAACTATGGGGCGTTGTCCTTCCGCCGCTGGCACGTCTACAAAGGGGCACGTCTACAAAGGGATGCTGGAACTCCGGTGATACCTGGCCTGAACGGCATAGGGCGTACCGCTGATGCATGAGTTGCAGCATTAATCGTTGCCGAACATGCCGTATGTCATGGGGGATGTCACGGGTACATTGTGGGCAACAATTGAGATCCCTTCCGCATGGCAGCTGGTGTCATAGGCATCTTTTCTGGAGGGTAGAGCTGGTTCACCAGCATAGATGAGTGAGGGTAATAGGGTTGCTGGGCGAGGAGATACCGGCCATTCGCTATGGAAGTATTAATCGGAGTCTGGCACAAATGCTCGGATGTTGCATCTTCCGGTTGTCAAGTCTCCGTGCCCGGGGATGCGAGCGATGTTGATGTTTGGTCAGGGTGGTTTTGCGACAAAAGCTACGTGACCGTGTTAGCAACGCCAGGTCTCCATGCGTACATTCCAATCTCACCTTAGTTTGCATGCAGGTTCCTGGCAGACGTATAGCCGCTTCCCAGTGTGAACTCTTCGATGGCTGGCTAGACTCGACGCCTGGAGAGATTTATCAGCAATTGCAGGGATCGAACACAATGACGGAGTCACAAATGTCAGAGAATGCCTTTCGACAACCTTCGTGTTCACAGATGTGAGGCTTTTCCCCAGTGTGGGTTCGGATGTGGACAGTCAATGCGCTGCTTTGAATAAAGCTCTTGCTACAGTCCTTGACTGGGCAGTGATGTGGTCTTTCATTAATGTGTATTCGATAGTGTCTGCAGAGGTCCGATTTGCGGTTGAAAGTCTGTTCGGATATTATTAGACAGACTACTTTCAAATGAATGTAGAGCAAAGTACCTTGCCACAGTACTCCCATGGATAGTTATGATCGCGTCTATTACGCGGTTCCATGTGGTGCCTAGTAATTCTGATAGCAACGCTAGCTGAAAATTAAGGATGTCGATTATTCCTGGGACAATTTTTGGATTTGGAGAATTGATTCGAACCTCTTTGGCTCCGCAAGCAACAAGCCTTGCTAGTTCGAGGGAAAGTGTACAGATGAAGTGACTTCACACTATACAGATATAAATAATACGTGCATTGAGTGAAAATTATCAGGGACAGATGACTACAAACCAGGTAAACGTATATTTACCTGGTGCACGAAGTACATATGCGAAGGCATATGTTTTGCTCGTTGACATCCCTGAATTCCAATGGCTTGATTTGTCCAGTGGGGCACGATAAGAACGGGTGAACCGTACGTGGTAATGCTGTGCAACAGCAAAATTTCCTTCATTAATATTTGGAAGCATAAAGGGTTGATGCCGGGCAGAATTTTCGGCAAGTCTTCTACACGGCGCTGTGTATGGTCTGGCCTGTGAGATCTATCTTAGCCATTGCATTTTCGCAGACCTTGACATTTCGGGATAGCATGTTTATCTTGCCAGACATAGTAATTTTAGAAATATGACAACGGAAAAATCAAATAAAATTGGCCAATAAGCGTACAAGCTCGAAGATAAGAAATAAATTAAACAGACTCCTAGATTAATACTTAACACAAGCCTCTTCTGTACCCCATCCTGCCTATCTTGTCGTTTGGCGCACCGCCTCAATTAACTCCAGTGGCCTGTTTACGTGTTGGCTTCACACCATTCTCTGCTGCGTCATTGGTCAAGCGCCAGCATGCCGCCTTTTTCCAGTTGACGATTTTTCTGGAGCCTGTTCGAATGCCTAGAAGGCCTGTTAAGTATTATCCTATAAAAAACATGTCGGGGAGACCGAGCAAGTGTATATAGCTTGGGAAACGTACAGGATTTAAGGAAAGAGTCTGGCAGATCGTATTTTTGAATGACCCAGCCTTGCATTTTGTGGTATTTTGCTCGAACCAGGCATATATGTCCCTAAGTTTTAGTTTGCAGTCTGGTGCGGCCAGCATACATTGCCGAAGAAGCTCTGCATATGTACCGTGAACACGATTCTTGTCTTCGGGTTCTATTTTTCCAGGGCCCTTTCTCCATAGAGCACCGGAGCCGGAAGGCCTGCCTCTCCGCCGTTTTTCAATTCCGCCTGTGGGCTTTTTAGGCCGTAAGGTGGATGCCGGAGAAAGCTTCGTGTGTTGGACTGCGGCAACTGCGTCGATACTATAAGAACAAGATTTTTCAGTGTTAGTTCCACCAGCATCCTTGCACTGTCGGGAGCCCGAAAACCAGCCTGGCTGCGGCTGACGGTTCCCCGTTCCTAACATCCAGGCGTCTAGGATTTTTTCTATCACTCGATATTCTGTTCCACCAAATGCATTCCGGTTGTTGCATACAGACAACTTCAGATCCTGAAATGGAAGCTGAAGCAGGGCGGACTTCAGGGCTGTGATATAATCTGCTTACAACTCAGCCAAGTTGCAGTCCACTCGCAGCCTGGCAATAACTTACCATTGCTTGATAACTCAGCCTGCCCGTTAATCTTTTCCAACAGAGTATTGTCCAGTGTTATTTTATCTGAAAACTTGGTAGCAATATGTTGTGTAAGCTTGTGCCAAGTGTTTTCTGGAAGAAGAGAAACCAATAATTGACGATAAAACTGCAAGTGATGTGTATCTCCGAGTAGCGGACCCAATGGTTGGAAAGGCTGCGGTGCTCCTGGGCTATGTGCTTTAGAGGCTTGTGCCTCGCTCTTATTACTTTGAGACAACCACAATGACCACATCTCTTTATCACGAGCTTTCACTATCTGAGCGGCTCGTTGTGCAGGGGTCATGAGGAGGGTTAGTTAACAGCAATCCTAGTTGGTATGGTTTACTTACAAATATGCCATAGTCGCAATTTTCTCTGCAACAAATACACCATTGCTCTCCAATACACCATTGCTCTCCAATAATCCATTCATAGTTGACTTGTGCGCCAGGAAAGACGGCTGAACTCAATCTCTTGCAACAATTATGGCACACAAAATATGGGATAGAGTTTATCTGTTCACTAAGCATATTTTGAGAGAAATTTGAAGTTTCAGGCTCCTCGATACTAGAAGGTCCGCTGATATAAGGCTGGTATCCTGTTGCACCTAAAGTCTATTTAGCCCTATATGTGCAAGAGAATTAAAAATTTACTTACCTATCAACTCATCATCCAGCATATTCAGACAATCCATTCTCGGTGTAGAATGAATTATTTCCCTTGTTATCCAACCGGACTGTGTGGACATGAAAGATAATTGTTCATCATCCGAGTTTGTTGAAGCTTGGCAGCTATGGCAATTGTGGCCCTTGGCGTCCTTTCAGTGAAATCTGGTAAAGATTGTTTGATTTTTTGTGCAAGGAATCAACTTGCCGAAAACTTTTGGGGTAGGGAGAAAGGAAAGATATATTTTCCATGGGGTGATGGCCTTGTCCCTTTATATACCAATGCGGTGGCCCACTTCTTTGGCTACTTACAAGGGTCAGCGGAAATAGAACATTACCCTAGTGGGTAGCAACTGGCCTATGGCAAGCCATCTATTGCAGTTGTATGTGATGCATTTAAAATTACATTTTTGCTTACAACTACTAGTGATATTTTTGTTGTGACGGATTACCAGCCCAGATATTATATCCCAGTAGTCTGATATCCCTTTAATTATAAATGTACAAGCTACTGTTTTGCTCCAAAATAAATACAGAAGTGATACTATTAATACAGCAGTTACTTTAACATCAACTAAAGTCACCTCAGTTGTTTGTAGCTGGCTTTAGTCCTGATGTAACTCGGCTATTAAACGGCTCTTAGCAAATTGTCCAACGCATACTGGAGTGATAGGTACTTACACTTGCAGGAAGCCATTAACTCCTTTCCTAAGAGCCTGACGTGCTGTCGCGCAATCTAGTAAACTGTCTAAGCAGTGCTTCTGGAGTTCCTTGTCGAAGAGCTCCAAGCTATATGATTCAAATCCATTGGCCCAGTTCTTGACTATCGCTCTTGCAAGAGGATTGGGACATGTTGGGTCGAGAGGTATGTTGTAGACATGGTCAACCACATTAATAAAGCCATGGCGTCTAAACTCTCTGGAATATAAGAGAGGTAGGTCTAAAAGCGCCCGCTTCTCTGATAGGCATTATGCATGTTGTGGTAGAAATGATGGAGGCCCGTTTTCTCGCCGGATTCTTGCAACCAAATCATGGTATCCCAAATCTCAACCACTCCTCCAGGCACACAGCACCTACAATGAGAGTTAGACATATAAAAGTGATAGACATTGTAAGGACTACCGGTAGGCTCCATCCATAAGGCATGTTAAGAGTTGGCAGTCACCACCCAGCGCGCCAATGTGGATGATATCTATATTATAAAAGGGAGTGTGCCAGTCCTGCTTAGTAAGGTCATCAATTAAGAACTGGCAGTTGACTGGAACCCTGTTTCAGATTAATTACTCTGGCCAAATAATTTAATACAATCCATACCACTCCTCTTGCATATGAACCAGATCAATCCCATAAACCTAAATAGTCACTCTCATTTCTTGGAAAGGAATCACTTGGGCTTACAAGCGAATGCGGGTTCCTATCAGCTAAAGGGTTAAAAATTAGCAACTTCATATTGAGAAGACGTCATGGGAAATAAGTACCGAATTCAATAGCCCAGTGGCCAACACCAGTTCTAAGATCAAGCACAGCTCGAGGTGGACTAGCAGGAGTCGGAGACAGCCTGCTTTGAAAAAAAAGCTTGCAAAATAGGAGAAATTGCTCAGCTGTTCATTTGGTTAATAAGCCTTAAGAAATTAAAGTGCACTGACCTTGCCGTTCTTTATCTATCTTAATATAACCAGGTTAACAACATCCTGGAAAGTGAAGGAATACATACCTCGTCAGCGGGCCAGGGATATTGGTCTTTGCTCGTTGCCGGATAATGCCGTCCGTATTTGTAGATTGTTTCGTATATTGAGCTGACCAGTTCTATCCTGGATCTGCAAAAATCAGAATGGGACCAAACACAGAGCCATGATAGCGAACATATACCCATCATAAAATCCCTCGTCAGATTCACTGGCTTCAACTGGCTCGGTATCCATTCTTCTAGCAATGACAATTTGGGTGATTTTTATGGATTTAAAGGGTGAACATAGCTAATGACATGAGGTAAACTTGGTATGGGCTTCTCCGCCCCTTTATAGGCTCCCCGCCTGGTACTTATTACCTAACCCACTCCTTACCTTTAATAAAGACTAATACCTCCGAACGAAGCTAATTACGATTTTTTTTTTTTTTTTTCTTCTCTTTTTTAAAGCAAGAGCTAAAAAAGATAGAGAGTTTCATTTTTTTTTAAAAAAATAGCATGGTAACTGACACTAAAATAATCCAGTCTTCCTATCTTCGTACTAAAAAAAGTACAGCCAGTCTAGGATGGATTCACCTGCTACAGTAAAGGTTAGCAGCAAGTCGCAAAATAAGTAGGGGAAACTACCTGCAGGCATCTTGCTCACGCATTTGGTGTTCATGCTCCAGCTCTTTAATCCGCTTCTTCATTTCACGAGCATCTTGCACGATTTTTGTGAGGTTTTCGGACATCATTAGAGAGGTCAGCAACAGTCACTTTGTTAATTCTTCACTAAATATAGCTCACATACCATTACCCCGTATCCGCATTCTCTCTTACAAAGGGCGCAGAGACGCTTCTCTGGCACGGACGCGTACTTTTCGCCTCCATTTAAATAAACTCTTAATATGAATTTATGGCAATCCCCACACAAGATACCCTCCTCGGTGGGCTGATAGGAATTGGAGTCCATGTTGACAAATTTCTGCCCTTAAGGAGTTCAGCTCGTAGGGCCACAAGTACTGGGAATAATAGATTAAAGGTAGGCATATTCTTACAGCGAGGAAGGTAGGGATAAATACGAAAACCTAATGTAGTAGGTCGTATTTTTTAATCTCTTGTGGATGCTCGAGCAAATGCTTGGTTACCTACATAATACGTGTTCTAGACGTGGCAGACAGCCTACACAAAAGGGAAGAGCACGATGCAGGCCAGTCAGTCTCACGAATCAAATTATTACTTCAATATGATCAGTAACTACTGTTAGGAGCGCTCGGAAGCGCGATAGCTAGATCCTTAGCTAAGATGCTTAGTCAGGTGCGAAGTGTTTATATTCGCACCCGCGGGCCTGAACTCTTGAAGGCCAGCGATTAGTTCTGCAATATACGTGGTCCTATCTTCTCTCCCATATAGACACTCCCTTTCGCACCGTAGCGCCCCATTCAGCTCGTTACCAACCCCCACGCATAACAGTTCTAATCGCTCACCCCAACGGTAACCCGCTGAAAGGAGCACTATGGCACCTCGACGCGTGCAGCGTGCTGGCTCCCAAGCCACCCGAAACACCGAGAATTCTGTCAACCCCGTCTCAGAGAATACCGCATCTATCCAAGCACAACCTGATGCTTCGATGAATCCGGGCCCAGCTGAAGAAACAGTTGAGGAAACAGCTGTGTTGCAAGGCGATAGCCCTCGAAAAGGGGCTACTGGGTCCACAACAACAAACGATTCTTCATCGGATAATGAATTTGCCGAACTCCGGGACCAGATACGCCAACAAAAGCAGGAACTCAAGAGATTACGCATGGAAAATAAAAAGGAGGACATTGCAAGAGCTTATTGATCATGAGAAACGCATCCAAGAAAACCGAAGTGCAACAATTTCGCGGCCAGAATCCAATATAAGCACACCCGACCATGGAATACCACAAGAAACCGCACCCCAGCCTATGCAAGAGCCCACGCACGCATTAAAACCGCCAGCACCCCCAGCACATGTCTCGGAATACATGGGAAAGAACATGCAGGAATACCAGACATTTATCGCACGCATGGAGACCCATTTCGAACGAAATCGCTACTACTTTACTAATGATACGACGAAAGTGGTGGAAGGTACGGCACATCTATGCGCAACATTTATCCGCCTATGGAGGCAACACGAGGAGGAAGTCGCCGATAAACCTACCTGGGAGGACTTTCGCAAGTTTCTACTACGCCAATTAAACGACCCTGTTAACCTGCGAAGAGATGCGAGCCAACGCTACCATGACGCCAGACAACAGGATCACCAAAACGTACGGGAATTCGCAGCTTACCTTAACCAATGGGAAGTTCAGCTCCCAGAAGCATACACAGAAAATCAACGAAAGGATCACCTCCGGACAAGAGTCAAGCAAGACCTGCGACACGAAGCGCTTAAATACCCCAACGAACCAGAGACATATGAAGGCTATATCGCCCACCTCCAAACAATTGAAGATTCTATACCGGGTCGACGCAAGGAAATATCGCAAGCGAAAAATAGGAGAAGCCAACACAGCTTAGCTATGCGGCACCGGACGACGACCCCAGGCAACACGGAAAGACAACAACCTTCCAGTCAACGGGGCCCAGACAAGCCATGGAGAGGCAACAATCGCGCCTTTAGAGGAAACTCTAATAGGTCCCAAAGGTCATAAGCGACAGCAGTCGCATAACCCTGATATTGAATGCTATGTCTGCGGAGAAAAGGGACATATTGCGCCTCAATGTCCCAAACGTGCGAGAAGGGACGACAACCAGGCAAAAACTAGGTGGCCCAGTGATGCGAGCAGCTGCGGCTCTGGGCCTAGAGGAGGAAAATCCAAAAAGATGATGCCATTGAGACTATGGTTGAGCTGCAAACACAAGAGCGCACCATTCCAACTTGTGCGTTAATCGACTCAGGGTGTCAAGCCCTTCTTATCAGCCGAAGGTTCGCAGATGCGCACCTCCCGGAGCCTGCAATAGGCCCGCGGAGGATAATGGCCCTAGATGGTCACCGCATCCGTTGCTACGGACGCTACAGGCTGAGGGCAACCACCCAAGATTGCCACGGTGTTCGTAGGAACGATTGAAAGAACATTCGATGTGGTTGATATGGACCATTATGATGCGATTCTAGGATACCCTTGGTTGAGAGAGGCGAACCCAAACGTCGACTGGGAACTAGGAACATGGGAATACCGGAAAATACCTCCGGAGAAAGAAGTCGAGATAATCAACGAAGCAGAGGTAAATCGCACTTTAAGAGAGGGAAAACAAGTCTACGCAGCGTACGTATCCACAACCGAGAATAACCAGGTCGAAATCCGTGTGGGTTCTGCGACAGTCGGCGAAGGAGTGCGAATACCCGCAATCTACAAGGAGTTCGAAGATGTCTTTTCGGAGGAAAATGCAGGGATTCTACCTGCGCATGCAGACCACGACCATACAATTGATATACAACCGGGAAAGGAACCCCCATACCGACCAATTTACCCCTTGTCCGAAAGTGAGCTCGCAGTACTGCGCAGATATATTGAGGCAGCGCTAGAAAAGGGATGGATTCGTCCCTCGAAGAGCCCAGCTGGCGCACCTATTATCTTTGTACCGAAGTCCGACGGAACACTGCGACTCTGTGTGGATTACCGCGGTTTGAACGAGATTACTGTCAAAAATCGTTACCCCTTACCACTTGTTAGCGAGACTATGGATCGCTTGGCCGGTGCTAAGATATATACCAAACTTGACCTGAGAGACGCGTATCACCGCATTCGAATTAAAAAGGGGATGAATGGAAAACTGCATTTCGCACAAGATATGGTCACTTTGAATACACTGTCATGCCATTCGGGCTAGCCAACGCCCCAGCTACGTTCCAGTCCTATATTAATCGCGCATTAAGCAACCTACTGGACCATTGCTGTGTTGTTTATCTGGATGACATTCTTATATACTCGCAGAGTGAGGAGGAACATGCTGAGCATGTTACCGCAGTTTTGGAGAGACTGCGACAATTCGGGCTATACGCCAAGCTGAGCAAATGCTCATTTCATGTGAAAAGTGTGGAATACCTGGGATTTATCATCACGCCTTCGGGCATTCAGATGGAGGAAAGCCGTGTGGCTACCATCCAGGCTTGGCCGGAGCCAACAACCGTGCGAGAGATTATGATATTCCTGGGATTTGCAAATTTTTTACAGGCGTTTTATTGAGGGTTATTCCCGCATTGCATTGCCGCTGACCCAGCTCACCCGAGGGGAGCAAGGGGGAGGAGTAAAAGGCAATGGTTCTTGAACCAGCGCCTTGAGCTGCCTGAGGACGCAAGAGTTGCGTTTAATAAACTAAAAGTGCGTTTTCGAGCGCACCATTGCTATCTCATTATGACCCTAGGAATAGGACCAGGGTAGAGACAGATGCGTCTGGTTTCGCCATAAGTGCGATAATCTCCCAATTACAGGATGATAACGAGTGGCATCCTGTGGCATTTTCTCACGAAAGATGACCGATTCTGAACGCAGGTATGATACGCATGACCAAGAGTTGTTAGCGATCATTGAAGCATTCAAAGTTTGGCGACATTACCTCGAAGGGAGCGGGGAGCCAATAGTGGTGAAGTCTGACCATGCCAACCTAAGCGGTTTCATGCGGCCCACATTGAAGCGGCTTAATGGACGTCAGGCGAGATGGGTCGAGTTGCTGAGCGCGTTCGATTTTCATATTGAGCACCGACCTGGGGTAAAGAACCCTGCAGATGCGCCAAGTAGAAGGCCAGATTATCTGCCGAGCGCAGATGAAGTAAGTGATGCGTCACTGCTTCCCACATTGCGATCAAAGTTGAAATTGGCCATGGGCAAGAGTCATTGGGATGACGCACCCAATGAGTTAAAACCGCATGGGCGGGAATAATGGCGCTGGACACCGAAGGCGGGTCCAAACAATTAAATAAAATGAGCTCTGATGCGCATATCTCCATGGGGAGTATGCATGCCCACGTGGATAAGAACGCACCCGTGGATGAGGACTGTGCTGCCGGCGTTACCAGAATTCTAGACACCTGGGTGCCACGGATCTATGTCCGCAAGGTCATTGGATCCGAATCAGCTTACTCCAGCATTGAGGAGTCCATGGTGGACTATTTGTGCAAATTGCACCAAGAGAATCGCGAAGTACGCGATATTAAGCGAAAAGTTGATCGCAAGCTGGGGACTATGGCAGTCCGGCCTGGGGAATTGGCGAAAATGGCCTACTCAGGTACCAAGGTCGCGTTTATGTGCCCAGAATTCCTGCGGTAACACATGAAATTATGAAAGCAAATCATGATGATCCTCAGGGAGGACATTTTAGAGGAAAACGCACCTTGGAAGCCGTCGAACGCAAATACTATTGGCATGGTATGCGTGGCGATGTGCTGAATTATGTGAAAACCTGCGATATTTGTCAAAGAATTCAAGTGCATAGACACGCACCTTATGGCAAGCTGGAGCCTTTGCCGGTGCCAGAGCAGCCTGGGGAAGTGCTGACTCTTGATTTTATTACTGGACTACCGCCCAGTTCACCAAGTATATCTGTTAGCCCAGGGGCACAGAGAGTTATGATGCGATATTAGTGGTTGTGGATACCCTAACAAAGTTCGCACTCTACACTCCTTGTAATAAGGATATCTCGGCGCCAGAACTCGCACATTTGGTTTATCAAAGGTGGTACCCATGTTTGGTAATCCAAAGCGATGGGTGTCGGACAGGGGCTCGCTGTTTACCAGTAGCTACTGGTCGACACTGTGCTATTGCCTAGGATCAAAGCGGAAACTGTCTACTGCGTTTCATCCGCAGACAGATGGTCAGACAGAACGCCAAAACCAAACATTGGAGTATTACCTGCGAGCCTATGCGAGTTTCTTGCAAGATGATTGGGTTGACTGGCTGCCAATGGCACAAGTTACATATAATGCTGCGATTCATTCATCCACAAAGACAAGCCCACATGAAGCATTGATGGGCTTCGTCCCTAGCCTGAGAATTAATGTCGATCCTGATCCCACTGGCCATGCGCCAGCAGCGTTGGAGCGCGCAACACAGCTCAAGGAAAAGCGATCCTTGGTCAAGGATGCGCTTGAAAAGGCGCAAAAGCCATGGCAAGGCAATATAATAAGCGTCGGATCGACAGACAATTCAAGATTGGTGATCAAGTCATGCTACGGGCGAAGAATGTCTCTACAGTGCGACCTAATGCGAAATTAGACCACCGCCAGCTAGGCCCATTTTCCATTATTGATGCATGGGGAAACCAATCGTACAAGCTTCAACTACCACCAAAATATCGCCGTCTGCACCCCGTTTTCCACGTGTCTTTGTTGGAGCCATACCATGAACGACCGGGTCAATGGAGCCGACCCCCGCCAATACCAATCAACGGCGAAGAGGAGTGGGAAATCGATCAAATTCTGGAGGAAAAACGCGACAAAAGTGGTAACATAAGCTATTTGGTGCGATGGAAGGGCTATCCACCTGATGACGATACCTGGGAACCAAGATCGCACGTCGAAGACACTGAAGCCCTGGACATCTGGCTTACTAATACAGCACCCGTTACCCGACGACGTACGCGCTACATGGCTAAGGGAAAATAGCATTCTATTCGACTAAAACAAGATGGCGCAACGGCCCAATAACACCGACCTCCCACCCGAAGAGACAACTCAACCCTTGAAGGGAGAAAGGACCGCATCAACAAAACGACCCAGGCGACTGGGAGTCGCAGGAACGGGAGCCATGGGCGAATGCGATGGAGTGCGTTCAGGGACAGGCACAGATGTACTGCTATCCACGCGTTGTATTCGAGGTTTTCGAACCGCACGTCTATACTCCCCTTACCAGCCCAGCCGCCCTCTCCTGCGCAGCAGGGCGACTAGACTGGGGAAGTCCAACAAACGTGCGATGTGCAGTAACCATAGAAACAGCCAAAGGACCAGCGGCAACCTCCGGAGCGACACAAGGGTGTCGCTGGCCAGTACAATAAACACAGTTTAAACGACCTGGCAAGAAAACACACGCTGACGCAGCATCTCGCTCCAAACGAACAAGGCAACGGTGGCACCAGGACTACCCCCCCTGGGCCAAAGGCAAACCATTCGTATCAACATGGACCGGCGCAGGGGTAGTCTGCACCTGGACGACCGAAGCCGCCGATGGAGACAAAGGGGCGATGAAACTTTCGCACAAATTAGCAACATTACCTTACATAAACGCACCGGACTTACCAGACACGTCCGGAGAGGGCGATTCGACTCCGTCCGGCTCCGCCGAAGCAGGAGAGGATGGAAATCCCTCCCATTCCGGCGAAACCGAGGGGGCGCAGGTGTGAAAACACATCTCTTCAGAGGATGAACGAGGACGAACCCACGGAGAAGGCGACGGCGTCGTGGGCGGATTCTCCCGATGGAGGCGACGAAGCTTTGCGGCGACCATCTGCGAAAACACCCATATTAGTAAGCTCAAAACATGCGAGAAAGCGCTGGAGGAGCCGTTACCCTTATTAGCTGAGGCAGAAGAGTGCGCACGTACCGCAAGAAGTTGGGTGGTTTGAGAAGAGAAGAGGAGAAGAAAAGAGAAGAGAGAGAGAGGAAGCAAAAAGCTCAGCGTTCAACAACAGAACTAAGCTCAAACGGGCGAAAAACTGCAGTGAATGAAGCAGAACTGTTGCCATGGAGCGACTACCTGCGAAAACACACCTACACTCACCCAAGCTCCAAGACATCGTACCAAACATCGATCAACCGCACAAACCATTATGGGAAGGACTCAAGGGATTGGAATCTATGACACACTACCCATCATAACGCATATATTCATACTACAGTCTTTAAGGCTTCGAGGGCGAAGCCTCTTGGAGGGGAAGATAGTGTTAGGAGCGCTCGGAAGCGCGATAGCTAGATCCTTAGCTAAGATGCTTAGTCAGGTGCGAAGTGTTTATATTCGCACCCGCGGGCCTGAACTCTTGAAGGCCAGCGATTAGTTCTGCAATATACGTGGTCCTATCTTCTCTCCCATATAGACACTCCCTTTCGCACCGTAGCGCCCCATTCAGCTCGTTACCAACCCCCACGCATAACAACTACCAAGGGGTAAAAGTTATATTGACAAGTGGATATACCGGTAGACCCAAACACAGCCAATAATGGGATTTCTGGGCTTGTGGCGGCGCTCCCCAGTATTCAAGTACAGCGAATAGGATCCGAGGCTGGAGTTGTGCGCGAACCCTCTAACTCCAAAGCCTGAAAACTAATCTTGACGGATCCTACAAATTATCAGGATAAGCGAAAGAGATAGTGGATCAGTACACTGACCGATGTGATAGTTGTACCATGCTTGGTATCCATAACGCCCAACAAGCAGAGGGACAGGCGTGCAGCCAATCTTAGAATCATCGAACTACCTTTTAATAACTGTATAGCTTTGGCTTCTTCGTCCCGTGGCAAGTGCTGGAGTTTCGGGAATACCGGGAGCAGACACAAGGAGATTCCCGGAACTCCAACACCCTCCTCAATACGGAGAAGGATCTGACCAGACCGTAATGCCTCTCTAACAAACGTAGAGGCCTCTAGCCCTTGACTGCGGAGAAATTTGCTGACTATCCCGTAGGTCTTTGGGATGATCATACCCCTATCTGACGGTCTGTTGCTGGGCCATTGCTCCCTTTCCAATGCCAAAGACCTTGAACCCAGTAGTCGATAAAAACTCCTATCCCGAGGGTCTTCTCCACTCATGAACAGAGCAGCTAATCGGATGTCTTGGTCTGGTTTGGGATCGATCCTCAAGACTAACTGGGTGTGGTCCTTTTCAAAATATTTTGAGACGTTATTCAATTGGCGCAGCATGCAATCAAAGATATCCTTTGCCTGGATAATACGCTGGGGCTTCCTTCCCGCCATGGCAGATAGAATGTCCAGCAGCCTGCAAGCTGAAAGAGTCCATTGGAGATCACGGAATCTCGGGGTGAGGGAAGGGACACGCTTTACCAATTTGGGTTAGTTTGCATACACCCTCTACATCCACTTTTCAACCACCAGTGGATGTAAATGGATAGATCGAGGTTACCAATACAGGCTTATCTTACACAAAGAAAGAATACGTGCTCAAGCCATGAGATCCAGTTATAACTAGTCAAACTTTCATAAACGGAAATACATAAGGCAATTGGATGTAGGCCCCATTGGGTGGGAAGAAAATCCCACCCAAATCATCTTCATACCACCGTTCGGCGACGGTTGAACAAAGGTCGCCCCTTCAACTGGAAGGACCCAGTATTGCTCGACCACAATCCGGTGAATATCTCGCTCAGGCTGGCGGTAAAATTGCTCGAGACTCTGATAATGAGAGCCAGTACAAATCGCAAACAACCCGTTATCCCAGTCGGCATTTCCTGTTAGCGGAATAAAGGAAATCGCATCACGGGTGTGAATGGGGTGTGCTGTCATGAAGTCAAGTGGCGACTTCTGGTCAGACTCGGGAACCGCGACGCACTCCACCATACTGGGCCCCTGCATTATAAGCTCCTCGACTTTTTCCCGAATCGGGTTTCGAGGTGACGCCTGACCTTTTAACTTTAGCTAGATCCCGAGAATTCTGGGTGGAGCGTACCTCTAGGTCCGACGTCAGAAACTCCGCACCCGGCAACTTACAGTAATGGAAGGATGGCGCGGTTATTTTTTTCGAACTTTTCACAGTCTTGTTCCATTTCCATAACTCCCGCTGGGTTACTAAGGGGAACCGGGTATAACCATCCCGCTCCATTTCCTCGTGTGCGGATTTACGGACAAAATCCTTGATAATATTGATTTCGGCAGTGTTCTCCATCTAGTTAACTAACCCACAAGCAATATGACTAAGAGAGGGAAGAAAGTAAATCCGATCTTGAACGTACACACAGTTCCACGACAAAATCAGCACCTTTATGTACACCGTCAACGTACCAGGTTACCTGATAGATCAAAACCAATTACTCTATAAATACTGCTAAATTTTTTCCAATTCAGGGAGCTATATACACCAGGTCACCGCCTAGCCGGGGTGTTATGGGCTGGGCAGTTCTTATGTTTGCAAGGTTAAGAGAATGCTTGTCTCTTCTTTTCACTCCCAGTGCATAGATATTTGAAACATGGAAGCGTGCCATTGGCTTTACAACCGCACCCGTATTCGTAGGTATATTTATAACACATTCTAAACGAGGAGACAAGTTAAACAAGTATCTTACCAGCATATGGGTATACTCACCTTTGGATTTCAAAGATATTAATTTAGGCATTAAGAACCCCAAAGCTGAAAGACAAATATTAGAAGGAATGAAGGCTGGGGCTTTGCGTAAGTAAAGGAAAAGTAGAATATTATAAATATTTATGCTATATTTATAAATACACAAAATTAATTTCAGTCTCATGGGTGTCAAGTAAATATCTACTGTGTTCAAGGTCCCATTCGGCCTCGCTTTTGTCGTCGTCCTAAGCACTGACTATGTAAGGGCATCTTCTGTGCCTGTTTCATGCATTAGTGTGCTTTCAAATGGATGCGGAAGCAAACTCGTACTCTTGTGCAGTATGGTCCAGTCTGGTAACAAGTAACAATATGTACTAATACAGTGTGATCAGTTATTCTTGGCAGAGCGCACAGCTTAGCGCAGAGGTCTGTGTGGAAGTCCCATCATCCACTATCATAGCTAGTGAGAATAACTCGAAAGGTATACCCTGTACGGTAATCCGTGGAGAGAAGAATCTGTAGTACCGTCAATAGTAAGAAGCCAGAACGCATCCTAATGGCGATCCAGATGAATTAAATTTTACCTGCCCGTATAATAATAAGGCAATCATTTATTGCATGGTACAAGAACAACAGTAGCCTGCCATCCCCACCCTTGTAGAAATCCACTAATGCATACTTTGGCAACGCTGTTGCCAAAGTATGCATTAGTGGATGCAAAAAAAAAAAAAAAAAAAGCTAGTCATGTGGGTCACAGCGAGCCGCTTGTTATCAAAATACGTCATCTTACAGAGGAGTTTCATCGAGAACAAGAAACCCGAAATAAAATAACAGGGTGTGTAAATACACAATGATCAAATTCCCAGAGCAGTTTGATGTGATTGGGGTCCCGCCTTTCAGATCGATGGCATTGGCTGCTCGCTCACCATGAAAAAAGCTCCTACTGGAGATACCAGCTTTGGTCATCAGCTGCAAGCATACCAAGATACCATAATCCAAGTACAGCGGTTAACTTCGGCTCAGATGTTGTCCCATGCACCGTTAATGGAATTGAAGCTGAAAGTTCTAAATTTCCGTTTCGATCAAGCCGCCGGATAGCTACAAACTCGCGATCTGTGAGAATAAAGCTGAAGCGTGTATGGTGCTGTTTCATGTAGAAATTGACCTGAGATAGTGCCTGTTTGAATTCTGTTCAAGTCCTTGGGTTGTCACTAGTTTTCATTTCGAGTGACCACTTGTATGATGGTTTGATGTCTCCAGGAACGCGATTTGGTCTGATATCTGCAGAGAGACTCGGGTCAAAATAGGCGATATCGGGTATGTAGCAGTCAATTATTTGGGCCATTGTTCCAACATCGTAATTTAACACCGTAAGGCCAGAGAGCTGTTGCGTGGATCTCATATATGTAAAACCGCACCGAAGAGAGCGTATGATCCGGTTCGTTAGATAAGCATCGAGCCAGGATCGAACAGCTGCCTCAGAATTAATTGCCCTGGAGGGAGAAGGTGGTACTGGTTCGTTTGGAATCAGTGCAGCCTGTAAGGTTGCTCAAACCGCTGCTGGATCGTAGAGAGACTGAATGTTGACCAGTGGCCCACATTAGTAATATCGGAAGCCCTATAACGGTCGTTTCGAGTGTTCTGTTTCGACTGTTCTTGGTCGATGATGGGTATGGGTTGAAAGCCATGTTGGAGGTATTCCATAAGGCTCACTTGGTTTGCCATGATATTTGCAGTAAAATTTTTGTAGTTTTAAAAAACCAACAAATAACAGAGATTGAACGTGAGTAAAATGAAAGAAGAGTCGAATGTGGTCTTCAATACATTTTATATCTAATATCGCGCAGACCGCACGTTTTAATGTAGGATCTGGCTGGCTGATTGTGGTAGGGATAGCGTGCTTGGGGGCATCCATGTACCAGAATAAAAAATGGACCGACTAACACTTCGGTCCAAGAAAAAGTACTCGCCTTGATTTTGACAAGATTTGTAAATCATCACGTTGGTCAAAGTACTTCTTGCCTGAGGCACGAAGCTTGAGAAAGCGGTGAGCTTAATTTAAATATTGGCTGCACATCAGCCAAGGGATCACGTCTCCTTGCTTAGTCTGGTCCATCCAGCTGTTCAATTAATATGAAAACAGCCATGTCTGATAATATCGAAGTCAACCCATCAGATGTTGTGTTCTTGCAAACACTAGGGGAGTCAAAATACTCCGTGATTTTTAAGGTGGCTATCCGCGATGAGGTAAAGGTGATGAAAGTGGTTAGTAGTCTGCTATTCGCTTCCTGAATCTTACTGAGCACGTTCAGTATCATGATAGACGCCCATCTGAACACGATTCCCCGGGCTGCGAAGTGAATCCCTTTGTTTGTGAATCTTCGGCGTATCGACGGCTAAAGGAAAAGGGTTTATGCAAAAGGGGCGTCGTTCCTGACTTTTATGGGACAATTGTGAAAATACAACCAAATCTTTGGCCAAGCCTTCACATGTTTTCTGCCGATGTACTGCTTCCGAATGCCATTCTGTTGGAATATATTCCGAATATGCGTCAAATGGATTTATCTATATTTTCAGAGCATCGTCTGAACGAGCTCAACCGCATTCTTCATGATATTCACCGAGCGGGGGTTCTTCATGGTGATCCCGATCCCAGGAATATGATGGTTTGCCCTGGTCGTTGCGGAAAACAAGATAGAGTGCTTTGGATTGATTTCGACTCCGCCCAGCTTCTTTCGGAACATAATCTCTCACCGCAACAAAAACGCAGCTCCAGGATGAAAACGAGTTGATGGATTACTTTGTTAAGTCTTTGGTACGTTTCTGGCACCGGTTTAGATAATGTTGACTAATCTTTCTACAGCCTGAAGATTACCGTGAGGGTAGACTTAATCGTACTTGGGTTTACTATTATACTAGGAAATGATGAGGCGGCTGTTTCTTAGCGGGAACGATTCTGATATTTACGTATTATGATCTCTTTTATCTTTTGTAATAATGCTCCCGATTTCATTATCCGTATGTCTTCCGCTGTGATATGCAAAATAATCTAAACGCTGCTCAATGAAGACCGCTGGGTTTGATCATTTTACCATGCGGTAGACAGATTCCCAATCCAGCACGCACGGCCGATCGGGCCAGATTAGAGAACTCGGTGGGTCTGGGTCACGTACTTACCCCACTTGTCAATTACCGGTAATGGCGCTGGTGTTTACGGTCAAATGAAGACAGCCCCCAGTTTCATGTCCATGGGGAACCAACTTCAACTAACACAACCATCTCTTGCAGCAAACCTTGGGGTTATCGAGTGCTCTTGTACAATAATAATGGAATCGCTCGTTCATCCCTGTTTAACATGGGCAGTTGATATGCAGAATGGCAGGCTGAACCTGGGCGATTTTCTTCGACATGTGAGACTCGATCGTATTCTCCAGGAAACCTAGGCTGACAAATTAGGTGACCTGGTTTATCATTCACAACAAGGACCATATACCTCACGACTCCCGACTTTTGTTATCGAATACATTTGGGAAATGTTACAATCCCTCAAGCACCGAATCAAGTCGATTGAGAGCTAATGAGGCTCGAAAACGTATTTCTCAAATAGGAGAGATTGACATCCTGCCCTCCCCTGAACTGCTCTCATCCATTACCGAGTATAAGAGATCTCCGTCCACTTTCTGGACTGCCGAATCTTCAGTAAAATTAGGACCAACCGACTTAGGATCAGCCGAGTTCAGTCGGGACACTGAAGGTCTTTTTTCGTTACTTTTACTGGCAAAACAGACGGAATAATATGTTGGAAGTATTGTATCGGGCATATACTACAACCGCCACATACTTGCTTGTTCAACGATTATGTCAAAATTTCGAGGTGACAAATCTGACGCCCCGAGTCCTACGATATTGCTCCGGATTGGTCACGGACCAGCATGTTACTAAAGAGAGAAGACAAAAGGTGGAAGATGACATTAAGGCTGACTACAGGGCTGGTAACGTATGGAACACCTACGCGGGACATTTGGGCGGATACGGTGCATTTTTCCTGATCGGTGTCGTTCCTTCGTGGATGTAAGTTTTCGTACCCGAGTATTCTTCTGTTGGCTGAACATAAAAGGTATGAGATATCCTTGAACAAAAGCGACGACTTGGAATATGTTGTTTCCCATTTTAAATCCATCAAAGTCCAGGAAATGGCAACACATTATGAACTGCAGGATCTCGGCTCACGAATTATATCAGAAGCCACAGGATGTGCCGAACCGTGTTTTCCCCTGAAAGGCCAACTGAGAAATTGAAACGCGCAAAAAATAAAGCACCCACTGCTGGCCGTTCAAGAGCCGCCAGAAATGGTGGCGGGAGTGTGCAACAAACGCAAGACACTCTAGGCTCATCGTGTGCGGTTAGCACACGTCAGTCTTCGAAGAAACGAAAGCGAAATTGTCGGCGGCTAGGCGTCAATTTAAACGGTGACCATTTGGAGAATAGCCAAAAATGTGCACAGCAGGTTCATTGAACCAGGCTTCCTTACCACCCACTATGTCTGCACCCGATCCGAGCATTCCAGAAGTGATACAGAGTAATTTCCAGGCCATTGAAGCGGAGCAAATATCGTCAGAAAATTCAGTCTGGAGAATTGAACCTGCCTCAACATCTCCGTTAGAGAGAATCCCATCTCAACCCCACATCAGCAGCGAAGACGCCAATATCTCACATCGAAGGTCTCCCGTCCGCGACGATACTTCATCCTCAATGTTCCATTACTCATCCTTCTCAACGAGCCTCGTTGATACGGATGATGCTATGCAGCACGCAGCCTATCAACACAATGTTTATTCTTTTGTGGGCTCTTCGCCTGATTTCGCTAACACGACTACTTCTCAAACCCACCCATCTGATAATTCCTCTAACGCAAATCCTATTTTGATGGATACAGATGACGCTCTGCAGAATGCAGTCTATCAGTCGCTCACCCACCACGGTTATTCATTCATTGGACCATTGGTTGACTTAACTGGTCAGGTTGATGATGCCAATAATTTACCCTTTCAACCACGTTCATCGAATAGTCCCTCGTATGCAAATCCTATCTTAATTGATACAGATGACGCTATGCGGCACACGGCCTATCAACCCCATGTTCATTCTTTTATGAGCTCTTCGCCTCATTTGTCTAATGTAACTGCTTCTCAATCCAGCCCGCCTGATAATTTCCTTTCCATGAGTCCTAATTTGGTCGATACGGATAATGCCTTGCGAGATGGCATATATCAGGCACATGGCAATCCAAGCTTCATTTACTCAAATATCAATAATCTAGCCCCTTCTGATGCCAGGGTAACGGGCACTGTCACCTAGAAGCATTGTATTCAGGTTATCCTTAACAAAATCCAAAATATCGAACAGTGGAGGCTAGTTAATCAAGTATATCCTATAAAATATTGTTAATGGTGTATAAAACGAAAGGATTAATACAAAAAGAATGAATAAGTCAATTTACACCGAGCATGTGTCATCAGCGTGACTTCAATAATGTGAGTGCTAGAAAACAATCACAAAATCAAAGTGTGGCCTATCCGTACCCTACTCGTATATTATCACCACTGCAGCCAGCTTCCCATTCTCTGAAATATCAATTGTAGATTGGCCGAATACATGATAGTAGCAGTCTGTCTCTATAGCTCTCCCCTCAATTCTCGCAGTACCGTCAATGTGAAGTGGTATCAGTATCGTTGATGACTTTCCAATCGAACTTTGCTGAGGGAAATAAACAAGGCCGCTGGTTTTATATCTCGATATCGGCTTCGGTTTTTCGAATGAAACCTATAAGCTTTTAGAAGCCAGAAATAAATGACGGGTAAAAACGCCTCCTAACTTTCGAATATTCGTCTGAATCTAGTACACGTTCCACAATCGGATCAAAACCACGCGTCCGTTGAAATACCGCAATTGTGCTAGATGGCTGGGGACGTAGAGAATGAAAGAAAACAAAAAAACTTCAGCCCAGCATGTCGCTGTCAGGTTTTAAGTTCGACAGCTTTAGGTATTGCTTTAATAAACTCGTAATTACCCCCGCTCGATGACATAATTAATGATTTCTCTATAACCTCACGACATCAGTTATCTAGGAGTATAAGTTAAAGACATGGATGCAGTTGAATAGTGGGCGATTGTTAACAGTGAATCTTAAGAGGGGTATCCGCGGGGGAAAACTGGAGCTCTTGATATACATAGGTTTTGACCGCCTTCTCATACTGTTGGTGCCCGACAAACTTCAATGTGGACGGCACCCGAAATTCAAAGAGTAATGACTAAGCCACAACATTTGATTTCCATCACTCAACTCAACTTCGAGTACACAGGTCAGGTGGACAGTAAAAAAGATTAAAGTTCGAGTATTCAAGTTCATAAAGAACTATCACGTGACCTGTGATTACTGTTGGAACATCGGGATATCCCTCTGCTCCGGATGCCGGTCTGCACTGTCTTAGTCAGCATCTGTTATGTATTTAGCCTCGTTCGTGGGTGCCTCCGTACCCCTGAATCCCAGACTCCTTCATGCTTCCAACAATTACACGGGCGCCACTATTTGCACAGGTCAAAATTCTGCCTGCACAAGTCACTAACCCGATTAGGAAACATCTATTTGCACAGGTCAAGACTATACTACATTAGGACGTATCATGTGACCCACAACCTTGAAGGCATCATAGTATGAATGGAAATGCTTTTTATTCGATTCTCTATATAAAAGTGCAACATAGCATGACGCAATTATTAGACATTAATATACCAATTCAGAATACAGTTTGACCAGCCAATCAGAATGCAGATATCAAAATTTCACTGACACCCATGTTAGATCCCCAGATCGCCTGCCCGCTTGCCCCCTCCCTCTACCCTGTCCCCGAGGCATCGCCGGAGATATTCCTTGCCTTGATGCTTCATTCAATGCTTCAAGCAGTGCCTTATTTAATGCCTCAACTGGTGCCTTGTTTGCTGCTTCTTCAGGTCTTGCCTCCACAGATATAGCCGCTGCTGCAATTGCTTTGAGTGCCTCACCTTTCTGAGCAATCCGTACCTCCCGGTCCACTCGCTCATATAATGATAATCCTCGCTTGTTTAAACGGCCGCCGAAGGAAGGCTGTATAAGTGGATCCATTACTAGAAGTCGAGGATCAAGTGACTCTATTGAATAGCCTGTAATCCACCACTGTCGATGAAAGTGGTCCATATTTAATGGCCTCTGGGCATCGACATATTCCTGAATGATATGAATGCATGGAATTCCAAGTGTTACCTGTACTGATTTAGTACAAGGCTTAATTAGCCTCTTGCCAGGGCCTTTCGGAAGGTGGTCCTTATAAATTTTATGAACTTTAAAGAGTGCAAATTAGGATATTTTAAACTTCACATCCCGATAAAGAGGCATATCAAGAGATATAGGCCATCTTATCTTGTTCTCTGTAATCTGCCTCTCTATCTCTGCATCTCTATCAAGCACTGTTCGTTCAAGAGACCGTGTCACTGTTAAAAGGTCTCCTATTGAGGTGTTTAGATCCCTTTTAAAATTATGATGCGCGCCTTCATTTCGAGATGTTGCAGTATTTCCAAAATGAGTATAGGAATTGGTATAGCAATGGAGGAATTTCCTTGCAGTAAAAAAATTGAAGCCATTCCCGCTCCAGATAGTGTATTAACTCCGGAAAGGAGCTATATATCTGTTTAAATTCTTCCCATCTCTGATTCTTCTTATTAATTGTTGTTGCAAAGATAACTTGTGTCCATTTTCTTTCTAGGCTTTGAGTCTGCCTATCAATCTCTTCAATCCTTTTTTTTTTGTATCTTGATTTTGAACTGTACGAGCGATCATAGGCTTTGCTTTTGCTGAAATATTCTTAAGAATATGCCAGATACAGAGAAGATGGCTGCTTTCTGGAAAGAGATGCATAACTGCATTTATTAAAGCCTTCTCTTTATCTGTAAGAATAGCAAGAGGAAGTGGAAGCTGGAGAACCCGGTATACTCTTCGCATTAAAGCTAGAATAAAAGAATAGGTCTCCTCTTGTTCATCACTTAAAAAGCCAAATGCAACGTAAAATGTGCTTCCAGTAGCTGATACACCAACAATATTAAGAAGAGGCATCCTAAACCGGTTGGTTTTATAAGTGCAATCCATACAAAGAATATATAGATTCTTCTTTAGTTGCTGAAGGCACACTTTATGAGTAAGAAATAGCGCAGAAACTCGACCATTTTGAGTAGCATGCTGCATTATCCAACTTCCTTCATCAGGTAAAATAGAAATTAAGGCCTGCATGGGGCTTCGTCCTGCAAGAAATTGCTTATATATTGCAGCCCGGAGGTTGTATATGTCATGGCGTTGGATAAGAGTATTTTGATCTTCTTGACGGAGTATTCGAATAATCTCTCTCGTTGGTATACCAACTTTAATTAAGGCCTTAATTTGATCCCCTTTCTGCTTGATCTCCTCTCTCCGAATTGAAGGATGTGCAATGGCTGATGATGCCTCATGATTATGATCTTTATTCCGTACAACTAAGGTCCATCTAGCTGTATGTTTTGAGTAGCTAATTCGAATGCTAAAAGGGCAGCCAATTTTTCGAGATTTGGCCTCGCGCTGGCCAGTGGATGTTGAAGCACGCTTTTGACCTTGATCACAGCCAAGATAGACTGCTTCAATAATACCATTGCGGTTCTTGTTGCGTCGAACAACTACTACTGCATAGCCATATTGTAGAGCATGTGCTTTTGCGGCCTTTTTCTGCCTCTAAAGCAGTATTGAATTGTGTGCCGGATTCAGGAGAAGGTATTTGAGAAGGAGTATTATCATATGGGAAATGATCCATTTTGTTTGTAATAGTAGTATTATATTTACTTTTATCCCTGGTTTCAACACTTTAAGATAAATACATATTTCCTAATTGGGATATGACTGGGGGACCTGTGTAAATAAAATCCACCCCTTGGTAGAATATTGACCTGTGCAAATAGTGGCGCCCGATTACACAGCCGGATAGCCCAATAGGTTAACCACATGTGTATACACAGCTCACATGAGCTCTCGGAAAGTGCCAAGGTGCTACATCCAAGATCCCCACTCAGGCACGGAACATAGTTGTTCCAGAGTCGGGGGTCAACATGACTCCTGAAGGTAGACTAGCGTATAATAAACAACCCATCACCTCAACAGAAAGACTCAGGGACCAGGGGCTTGCTTGTTCATCCCATCTAACGAATAGTTAGACATTTGTAGATAGCATCAGCCTCAGTAATTTGAGGCCAGATCCAAGAGGCGGAACTTTAGGCGGTAAATTAGTACAGCACAAAACAATTGCAAAAGAAAGTTGGCTAGTAACTAAAGGATCGCGCCTTTGACAGAGATGGGTCGGGATGACGCCACCGCCATATTATCTTGGCAGAAAATAGCTGCCTGCAGCTTGGATAACTCTAGCAAGTCCTTTTCAATTAACTTATATCAAAGCTATCAACCATCGCTATCAAGAGCCCTCTTTCAGATTCATGATTCGGGTGATGGGCTTCCTATTTTTCTGTGGTTACGTGAGTTAATTACATGGACCACGTTTTGTTTTCCACGTTCTTTTCGTCGAGCCACCTAACGATGGCAGCAAAAGAGTCTTTAAGTTCCCCCCCCCGATCAGAGATCAAATGGCTTTCGTGATTTCAGGTCGACCTGCGACAATTTAGGCCTATCTCGCGCGACAGACTCTACATCAGTGGGATAGTGAAGGTGCGTACCTAACGTCAGATAAATAAAGACTTCTTCTAATTTTGTATACCTACAAAATCTAGCACTTGATCTTGTGTCCGCGTAAGAAGCGTCCCTGAAATACGAACCCTGCCATCCGCCAATAGTCGGAAGAGCCTTTTGAGTGATATCTTATGGCTTAATTCTGCTATCAGTTCCGAGGACTATGATATCTACAAACTCATTCCATTGCTTCGTGCGGTCGTTAATAAGGAACCCGATGATATAGTCTGGAATAAGATCTACGCTTCGCTTATCGAATCTACTCCACCGAAACCGCTCCCTAGCCTTAACCAAACACCATACCTACACATCACAAGCAGCTTTTCGAATTCGTCCGAACAGCGTAAGCACGTGGATGCAGTACTGAAGGGGACAGTGGATCAGCAACAGGAAAACAGAGGTTGTATTGCTCTTATTAAGAGGACGCGGGGAAGTCTCTTCCTAGGAAGTGGACACAGGAAATGGAACCCAAAACCACTGGTCAGGTCCCGGTCATCCGACACTCCGCCTGGCGGAGGTGGGCAAGCGCAACTTCCACAGCAGAAATAGTATCTTCTAAGGCCAA